CTAGTACCACCATGCTGAGGTGGACACATGGAGATGCCCAGGAAGCCCCAGTTGCTCTAATCCCCAACTGTTGAATCTTACAGACCAGACACAGAGGTGTGAGTAAACAGGTCTTCAGATGACTCCAACCCTGTCTGGCCACAGCCTTAAGAGAGACCCCAGGTGATAACCATCTAGCAGAGCCCAGTCAAACCAAGGCAATATAAAGAGATGATTATTTCTAAGTTGTTGGGTTGGGGGATCTGCAATAGATTATTGATAGGGCTTTTTAAAAAAAAACTTTTATGGTTATATACAACAGTGAGAGGCACAGTGATAGTGTAAGGGAAAAAGGACAGAGAGATTGCTCTTAGTCCTGCTGATTCAGGCTGAGAGAGAAAAAACCTGCCCAGCAGACTCCTAGGCTGCCATGCAGGGTGCACCTTCCTCCCTATGTCCTGTTCTTTACATAGTAGCAGCAGGTCAAGGTTCTAACCCTGGTCTTTTTTCATATTTTTATTAGTGCAATATAATTATATATAATAATGGGAATTGTTGCTACACATTCATATATGCACATGATATAACAATATAATTTGGTCAATATCATTCCCTAGTATTTCCCCTTTCCCTCTTCTCCTCCCTCCCCACTGGTCCCTTTCCTGTACTCTATTGGGCTTCCTTCAATTTTCCTGAGATCCTCACCACCACCTTTCTTTTCCTTATCTTCCACACATGAAAGAAAACACATTACTCTTGACTTTCTGAGTTTGGCTTATTTCACTTAACATAATACTTTTGAGTTCTATCTGTTTACCTGTAAATGACATAATTTCATTCTTTATGGCTAAGTGAACTCCATTATGTATATATAACACATTTTCTTTATCCATTCATCCACTGATGGACACCTGCCTCTTCTCACATGTGTTTCTTTTCTCTCTTTCCTGAGTCTTTTATCCTATTTGTGATGAAATTAGATCTTAGGCATTTTTGGTGAGTGCATAAATGGAATCTACAAAACTTCTGTAATGGGGCCTTGCCTCTGTCACCCCAGTGATTCAGAAATACACACACATTTAAATGAACTCAAGATATGTTATTGAACATGAACTCTGTGCTGGGCCTGGCAATGGAGATGCAGCAGGTATGCAGTTGTTGATGACTACAGAGGGTCTCCCTGGAGTGGGAAGGTATTTGTTGCCATGATGTAATTGAGACTTCTGTGAAAGACTCTTTGAGGAGGCCAAGGAACGTTCCTTCAACAATTTCTGGGAAAATTAATGCTAGTTGCATAGATGGGGATGAACAGAACAGAGTTCTGGAGGGTGAATGGGAGCTTTCCAGACAAAGGAGAGAAAAACTGTTCAAAGTGGAGAGAACAGCACATTCAAAGGAATGGGTTTCTGCCTGATATTTGGTGAGACATGCTGAGAACTATGAGTAGCCTGAGGTAGTGGGTTCTATATTTAGTCAAGCCTTGATTATACTTAGAATCTGTCCTGCTTGATCTTGATCTGGGCGATTTCCTGCTTTTTTTTCATCCTCTAGAACCCATTACATTATTGCCAACAGTCAACTGTACAAAGTCCAGGTTTCCCTGAAATGATACAGATCCCTGTTCTGAGGTTGAGCCAATACATTCAGAGTTGCTTTCAACATCAAAGTCATAAATATATTATAGATGCTATCACAGTTAACACATGCTTCTTTTTGTTGGGCCTTGGTGGAGTGAATTTTACTGGCCAGATTCTGTTGTTATCACTTGCTGTTGAAGACTTTGATCTGGCATCTTGAGGTCTTCATGTTGAGACCGAACTGGCTGATACTTTCTTGCTTTGAGGGATGAAATAAAAGACTAGGTGTCTTGCAGGCCTCCCTTTGTAGGTAAATAACGGTTATGTAGGAGAGATGTTATCTTGTCAGGCAGGATAACACTAGCATGGATTAGGGCAAATTCTGTTCAATCCTTCTCTGCTGGTGGCTTTGTCATTTGTTGCTATTGTGACCCTTCTCCCCTGGAGTTGGTCTGCATTGCCACAGATAACTTGACTTGTCTTCCTTTTCCTCTTCCTTGGAGCCCAAGAAAATTCTCTCTTATCAGTTGTTATGATGCCCCTAGCTCCTCCTTACCTCCTTTGCTCCTCCCCCTGAAGCATAGAGACTCTGCAGATTAGATCATGTTTATTTTCCTCTACCAATTTTGTGCCTATTATCATGCCCATGACATGCTCCATCAAAGTTTAAGGATGTATTTGTTCTCCAGAATGACTTTCCATTTCAAGCATTATTGTCTGGAGTTGTTGCTTATCTGGAGATTTGGTTTAGTTTCAGGTAGTATCAACTCCCTTTTAACAGAAGGTTCAAGTCTCTGCAATTCTTTTCTATGCTCTGAGCTTTTCTGACCAGGGCTCTGTCCATCATCTTATTTTTCCCATTAGAAATTTTCTTTACCACATATAATAGGAGATTATGACCATCTTGTTTCTGTAGAAATCAGAATGAAATCTCTGCTTTCTAATTTTATTTCTTCCCTTATCTTATTGGTTATGTTATTGGTTGCTACTGACTTATGCAATATGATTCTTCCCTGGGCCTTCATCAATGGGTGTAGTTTCAACTTGACACAGCTCAGACCTCAAACTTTGAGAGTTTTAAAGTAGCTGAGTTGCACATATGGTCAATAAATCAATCACTGTGGCCACTTTATTGCTTGTAAGTTGATTACCCTACTTTGCCCATAGTGACTTTTCAATTTGATTAAAATGCAGTTTTATCAGGTGGTGGTTGAGTCCTCCAGATACATAAATACATAAAGCAATGGGAGAAGTGTGCAGTCAACTATTTTTATGACCACCTTCAAGTTTTTAACCAGCCATTCCAGCACTTTTGTGGTCCTCGTCTTACAATTCAAATTTCCATACTCTATGCCAAAGTCATTTTTTATTTAGTGCATATTCCAAGCTCTTGTGTCTGTAACAGTGTATTATTTCTTCTGCTAACTGGGGTGATCATCAGTCCTGCTGCAAAGCATTTTCTATATCTTAGATGAGCTCCTATGTGATCTGTAAAGCAGGCTCTGATGGCAGTGGAACAGGGAAGATGTGTTGGTTCATTCCTGATTGTTTTCTGGACCATAGGAGCCCAAATGTGGGAATGGAATTGTTATCTTAGAAAAGGAAGGGGACTTCAACTTTCCTTCTGTCCTAGCAGCAGGAGCCATTTTAACTGTATCTTAAGAAAAATTTAAAACGAGCATCTGCACTGGAGCTCCTTGCCCAGGACAGTGTGCCCACAGCTCTGCATGGCTCCTGGCAGGTTCTCCTGCCTTTCTTATCCATCTCCATATTGGCTCCCCTAGTGCAGAGGGTTGCTGCTATTTGCAGATTGCTTTGGCTCCTACCAATGAATTAAATTCTCATCAGTATTTTCACTCTGCTGTTACTGTACATTTGGAATGTCAATGATGAAACTACGTGGACTACTACCTCAGAGGCCTCCTTTATCTCTCAGGGAAACCAGTTATCTGTTTGGTTACAATTTTGGGCCTCTTTATCCCTCACCTTTTGTGACCTTCCTTTTGCTTCACTTGAAATTTTCCATAAATATGTGTAGTCTATCCTCAATTGCAGACTCTTTATTTGCAACTTTGCCTATTTGCTAAAATTTATTTGTAGCCCCTGTGTTAGTCAGTTTTCTGTCACTATAACAAAACACTTGAGATAATCCACTTTAAAGTAGAAAAGATTTATTTTGGTTTACAGTTCTGGAGTTCTAGTCCATAATCAATTGGTCCCCTTGCTTTGGGCCTGTGGTGAGGCAGCACATCATGGAGGGATTGTGTGGTGGAACAAAGCCACTCACTTCTTGCTCACTTCATGGCCAGGACAGGGGGGTTGGAGAAAGGAGCCATACCCCCAGTGTCCTAAGGATCTCTCACGAGGCCCCACCTCTTTTTATTTTATGGTGCTGGGGATTGAACCCAGGGCCTTTTGCATGTGAGTGACCTATATCCCCAGCCCCCCCTTTTAAAAATATATATTTATTTTAGTTGTAAATGGACCTTTATTTTATTTATATGTGGTGCTGAGACTCGAACCCAGGGCCTCACACATGCTAGGCAAATGCTCTACCACTCAGCCACAACCCCAGCCCCAAGGCCCCACCTTTTAAGGATTCTACCAGGACCCAAAAGCACCACCTTGGGGACCAAACCTACAACATATAAGCTTTTAGAGGACATTTAAGATCTAAAATATAGCACCCCAAAGTCAATACTTGCATTGCTTTAAAGGTCATTCATAGACAGGCATATGCAGAGTGGCAAAAGGCTTGAGTTGCCAAAAGCACATGCTATTAGTTGAGGTCAGAGAAGATGACCCTTTGCCTTTCTGATTCCACCCTCATACTTTTAGTGTTCTGTTTATTACCACATTTTCCACATTTCTCTGCTTTTTTTTTTTTGGTAATTTTGATGTTTAAAATGGCCCTGAAGTACATTACTGGAGTGCCATCTAGCATTTCTAATTGTGAGAAGATTCTGATGTGTCTTGTGTAGAAAATATATGTTAGAGAAACTTTTTCAGGCATGAGTGATAGTGCTATTGGTTGTGAGTTCAATGTTAACAATACATATTAAACAGAAACCCACGTAAAACAAGGTTATGTATTGATCCAGGGAAGGCAGCTTTGGGGGATGATGAGGAATGATATGGAGAGTGCTCAGAGAGGGAAGAGATGTGTAGGAAGTGAGGCTCAGGCAAGAAGAGACTCTCAGGAACCTCTCCCGGAATTCTCCTAGGAGCAGTGATTCAGTATCTCTTAATTCAGGCTTTGAGGTGACTATAGAACTTAACTGTGATGAACAATGAGAATCAGCTGTGTTCATATTCCATGAGAGCAGCAATGCCTATCCTGAAATAATATTTTCTTATATGAGAAAACAGAGCCCATGATTCTTCTTCTGCAGTGACCAAGTAGAAGTCCTGCTTATGTTTTTAATGGCCAGTTTTCTCTCATAGGTGTAACTTAGCATGGTCCATGCAGGAGCGATGAGTGGCTCTGGAAACCTGATGGATTTCCTTGACGAGCCATTCCCTGATGTGGGGACTTATGAAGACTTCCACACCATTGACTGGCTGAGGGAGAAGTCACGGGACACTGACAGACACAGAAAGGTAGGTGGCATTTGTAAGGGCCATGCCAAAGGGAATCTCTGCAATGACTGTGCCATGTTTCATTTGCAAGTTATGGAACTGGGGCTTAGGTCGCAGGTTAGGTTTTCAAGAAGAAAAAAGCTAATGGGAAAGTCAGAGATTTAAAAAGGGAATTATAATAGCAGGTGCTTTGGGTGGGAGGCTATGTCAGACTGAGGGAATGTGGTGTGGAAGCAAGGAAGGGACTCTGGAACCACATAAATTTAGGACACATCCTTCCCTTGCCACCTCTAGGCTGGGTAACTTTGGGGGTACCATTCCTTGGCCCAATTTTCTTATTCATGAGAATGGAGGTAATTATACCTAAAGATTAAATGAAATTACGTGTGTGTGTGTGTGAAAACACATTATCATGGTGCCTGGCATCCAGTTGGCTATCAGTATATATTGGAATGGACCACAATTCATTTATGTATCCAAGGGATCGTTTAGGAGGGATGGTTAGGGAAGGGTTTTTCAGAGAAGGTGGCATATTGGTTGGATCCTGAAGGATGGCTAAGAGTTTGCTAGTTAGAGAGAGGGGAGAGGATTCTAAACATCACTAGTGAACTTTTTTAAAAATAAATTGCCAAGGCATGAAACAACATGGCCCATTTGGGCAACTGAGGAAGATGCTAGGGTCTGGTGAAGGATTTATGGAAGGGGAGGACTAGGGATGAGTCTGGAAATGTGGGCAATGGGGCCATGTTGGGAATGACCAAGTGGGCCATGGAGAGGGGTTTGTATTTTTTGTCGATGGCCACAGAATACAATAAAGATGCATTACAATAAGAGAAGCAGGACACTCTGAAGTTAGCTTAGGAGAAAGAAGGACTTCTAACTCAAAGCAGTGGAATGCTAATGGAGGAAAGGAGATCATGGGCAAGAGACATTCTGAGGAGACATGGACAGACTTTACAGGAGGTATTGGGGTCAGGAGCAGAGTGGCATCAATGAACACCTGGCTGTGGCCAGACAGGTGCAGTGGTGCCTTTGATGAAGAGAAGAAGGGAAGGGGAGGGTGAATAGCAGAGGGAGGCCGGAGTTCTGCTTTTTATGCTTTGAGTCTGAGCTGCCTGGCTGGCCTGCAGGTGGGTCGGGGGTCAGGAAATAGAATTCTACAGTTCAAGGGCTGTGGAAAGAAAATGAAGGCCCTTGGCATATAAGTGGATGCTGAAGCTTTAGAAATGGTCAAGGTAGCCAAGATACATAGAGAGTAAAGAGGCAGTAGGGACCCTGGGAATGTCAAGATATAGTAGATGTGGGGGTGGTAGGTGGGGAACCAGAGACAGATGCTTAGAAGAAGTGGGTAGAAGAAAAGGAGGGGAACCAGCCAAGAGTGGTCCCAAGTAAGAGAAAGAGGCTGCTCACAAGGTCCCCTGCTCAGAGATGTAAATTAGGTGTGTACCAGCAACATAGGAGCCATCAGTGACCTCAGGGAGAGCAGCTTCAGAGGGGGATGAGGAACAAATGATGTGGCGAGTGCTCAGAGGAAAAAGAGAGATATGTAAGGAATATGTAACATAATCTTGTTTAGGCACAAAAATGATGCAGCCTCTATGTTCCAACATGGAAAAACATGGCAATGGGGTAGCCTTCACCCTAGAGCAAGAGTTATTAAACTATGGCTCTCATGCCAAAGCCAGCTGGCTCCTTGTTTTATAAATAAAGTTTTATTGGAACTCATTTATTTATTATCTGTGGCCACTTTTGTGCTACGGTGGCAAAATTGGGTAGATACAACAGATACCATTTGACCTGCAGCGACCAAAATATTTACTCTCTGATCCTTTATAGAAAATGTTTGCTGACCACTGATCTGAAGGTTTGTGAGAAGGATGATGATCTCAGAGGAATATAGGATTCTCTTAATACAGGAGGAAAGGGGGTGTTCTTACCATATGCAGAGATGTATCTATCTGCTGTGGCGACTGTGATCAACACTACCTGATTCAAAGTTCTAGCCATTAAAATTTAACCTTGAAAACAAAAGTACGAAATGAAGCCTATTTAATAGACTTTTCAATGAACAGACCTTAAAACATAAGTTAGAGTAGTAACTCACATTCAAACTGGTGACTCTGAATCAATGTCTCCCTTCAGAATGGATTTTACATAATCAAAGAGCAAATAATATTTAGTATGTTTTTTAATTAAGTGAATTTTTTGGTCCTCCAATTCTTTGGAGACTATTATGGCATCTTTATAGCTTTGTGAATTAGAAAGCCCATTCGATCACTGTGGTACATTACTGAAAGAATAATGTAACTGGGAATTTAGTTGCTTAATTACATTCATTTTCTCAATCACTCTGTTTCCCAAGGAAACCATTTTAGGGAAGAAGCATGAATTAGAAAATGTGTTCCAATCAACTGCTGTGTCTGCTTTGTTTCTAGATAACGAGCAAAAGCAAGGAGTCCATATGGGAGTTCATCAAGAGTTTGCTGGATGCATGGTCAGGATGGGTGGTGATGCTGCTCATTGGTCTGTTGGCAGGTACGTGGAAGGGTATGCAGGACTCCCAGGGAAAGCTGGAGATGCTGAAACTCTAAACACCAACTCTTTGGGAAGATATTTGGAGTATGGAGTGTTTCTCTTTTACCCCCAACACAAGGAATTTATTACTTGAAATATCTAAGAGCTAAGTACATGACCATATATTTAGCTTAAAATCTATCATCAAACCCAAGACATAGCTTCTGGAGAGCTGTGATTTTAGCATTGATACGCCCTTCCCACACAGAGCAGTGGGTGATTACCACACTATAGTTTGCTGAAAGTATATAGTTCACATCTGTTATACTTGGTTATGTAGAAGCAGCAAAATATGGAAATATTTTTATCTCTAGTCACCAAACACCATAGGAGACTGGCTTTTACTACTACTGGTAAACCCTGAAATGAACTGTAAATGTCCTACTGCATTCAAAATAATGCTAGATACCCACAATATCTGAGGTGGGCCCAGGCAGTGTACCTCCATCCCCTACATTGTTCTGACTCTCAGAGATAGTGCGTCCTTCATTTTTGTAATCCCAGTGCCATGTTTGTGAGCAGTAGATGTTTCAAAGTAAATGGATGACTATTTGGAGGGAAAACATGTCCTTTTCAAACCAAATGTACCAGCTCTCCATGGAAATTGTTGCCTGAAACTTATTTTCCTTTAAGAGGCTGTGAAGGTTAATGTCTAAGAATTTTTTAAAAATGAGCCCAACATATAGAAAGCCCCTTAATAAAAATCCTCTACATATAGCAATCTAATAATTAAGATTTTAAAATTGACTATAATACAGGCAGAATATAGTAAGTTCTCTAAGAAAGAACACTAACAGGGCACAGATATAATTTTGTGATTACAGAGGATTTTGATTGCTGGGGAATCTTTCATTTATGCCAAAGGTAATTGTAGGCAGGGCATGGTTGCTAGGCAAGAGGTCTGTCTGCTTGGGCTGCCTCCATGTTCCACAAAGAGCCTAGAAGAAATGTCTGAGGTAGGGAGGGTAGCTTGCTTTCCTACTAGTTACAGTGGCTGTTTATCCATCTCTTCAGTTCCATCCTTTTTCCCCCGGGTGGTGTTTTCCAGTGTATGATGATTAAAGCCACCAAGAAAGGGAATTGGTCTTGGGGACATAGTGTTCTGCTACCAATTTTACCTGACTGCTTCTATAAAGACCTTTGAAAGTGGGAAGAGTGGGAGTTTGTTGTGAATTTTGATGCCTTTATGTAGAAGAAATTCATAAAACCTTGCAGTGTATCATTACTCTTGGCTCCTAGGAAGGAGAAATTAATAGGGGAAATGAAGGACTCAGTATCGATATTCTGGCATCTTGCCGAAGTAAATGGCACAGCTTAGATTTATTGACTAATCTAGGGACCCCATTGGGATATCTTTAATATATCTGATTTTGACCAGCTGGCTTCACTTGTGATCTAATTTCCATCAGTTCTTTTAGGAGGAATCATCTGGGGAATTTAAAAGATATATACTGCTGCCTGGGCTTCAATTAAACAGCCTCTCCGGAGAGGACTTCCTGGCATTAAGTACAGACTCCATCCTTTTTCTTCCATGATTCTGACGTGAAGCCAGGGATGAGAGCCACAGAGGAAGCAGATCCCATGAGCAAACCAGCAGATGAATATAGGAGGGCAGGAATGGGAGGATATGGAGAACAAAGGTGGCTTAAATGTTCTTTTGATTTGGATGCATATCGAGGGGAAATATAGTGAGCTGTGCCTTTCCCCTACTGTTCTATTGGTGGAGAGGACTCAGGCATCGCAGTGCCTGGCCAGTCCTCCCCTCACAGGCACCCTGACCATTTTATTTGGACTCCCATGATGGGGAAGTGCAGCTGTATCTCCTCTGCAGAGCATTTGTCAGAAGACACCACTGGGTGTCGCTGTTGTATCATGCAACAAAGCTAAGGATCGACCAGAGCACAGTCAGAACCAGGACTGGCAAGAAAGATTGGGTGTGGAATAATGTGATTATAAATGAATGAAAAGTGATGCAATTTGGGCTGATCATTGAATTTTGACTCTGCATCTCTGAAGTACCCTTCCCTCGCCTTCTTTACACCTTTGTTCAAATATTTTCCATTTGAAACTTTTTCTGATCTCTTTAAAAATCACATCCTTCCCTCTCTGAGCCTATCCTATCCCCCTTACTTGCTATATGTATGTATGTAACTACTCTATTGAAATATAATTCACATACCATACAGTTAACCCATTTATGTGTAGAATTTTGGTTTTAGTGTATTCACAGAGTTGTGTAACCATCACTATGAGCAATTTTAAAATGATTTTATTGCCCCTAAAAGACCCTTTAACTATCAAGTGCCAGCCTCCCCTCTCATCCCTGGGTCACCTCTAATCTTCTTTCTGTCTCTATATATTTGCCTATTCTGAAAATTTCATATAAATGGAATCACACAATGTGGTCTTTTGTGATTAACTTCTTTCACACAGCATAATCTTTAAAGGTTAATCCATGTCATAACATGTATCAGTACTTCATTCCTTTTTATCTCCAAATATTTATTCCATTGTATGGATAGACCACATTTTGTTTACCTTTCATCCACTGATGAATAATTGCATTATTTCTGCTTTCTGGCTATTTTGAACATTGATATGAATATTTGTATACCAGTCTTTGTGTAGATGAATGTTTTCATTTCTCTTGAGCATATCCCTAGGAATGGAATTGCTTAGTCAAATGGTAACTCTGTGTTTAATATTATGTGCAACAGCCTGATTGTTTCCTGAGGTGGCTACACCATTTTAGGGTATTATATTTTCTCTCTAGTACTTATCACTTTTCCCCTACCTCATACTTGAGACTGAATCCAGGGCCTTACACATGCTTGGCAAGCGCTCTACCACTGAGTTACATCTCTACACTTTTTATTTTTCATTTTAAGGCAGGATCTTGCTAAATTGCTCAGGCTGGCCTTGAACTTAGGATCCTTTTGCCTCAGCCTCCCAAATTGCTGGGAGCCACTCACACCAGGTGCATTTATTGTCCTCTAATGGAGCCCCTGATGTACGTGTTTTGCCTAGTGTCTTTTTCCCTCTACAAGGTGCAATTCCAGGGGCTGGGAATGTGGCTCAGGCGGTGGCGCGCTCGTCTGGCATGCGTGCGGCCCGGGTTCGATCCCCAGCACCACATACCAACAAAGATGTTGTGTCCGCCGAGAACTAAGAAATAAATATTAAAATTTCTCTCTCTCTCTCTCTCTCTCTCTCCTCTCTCTTTAAAAAAAAAAAGGTGCAATTCCATGAAGACAGGGACTTGGCTCTGTTTTGTTTGCTGCTGTATCCACAATGCATGGGCTAGTGACTGGCACATAGTAAGCAGATGATCAATAAACACTCTTTTAAGTGAATGAATGGATCTGAGGATTTTAAAAAATGTTTTCCATTCATTTACACATCACACTCATTCATTTAGCATGAATATATAGCTCCAACTGTGCACCTGACAGATATTACCATGTATAGGGCAGATAGGGTCTGTGCCCACTTGAAGTAGATAGAGGGTCTGGATGACTGACCTGACTTACCCTGTGACACAGAAACTATACAGCGAAACCTTTTCCTCCACCACTTATAAACTAGTGGAAGTACAAACACATGTGCGCGCGCGCGCACACACACACACACACACACACACCTAGCTAATCATGATATCAGGATGTGAGAAATATGGTGATGGGGGAAGGACAGACTGCCACAGCAGTACTTGGGAAGTATACCTAACCCAGACTTAGGAAATCAGGGAAGAGTTCTGTGAGGAAGTGATATGAATTCTGGCATCTGGAAAATAAGTAGGAGATTGCTTGGTCAGGGGGATTGCAGTGCTTGCTGAGGTGGTGCAGAGAGGACAACCTGGCATGGTTCAGGAACATTAAGTGGGCAGGTCATAGGGGGTTAGTGCTAGAAAAAGATGAAGCTGGAGAGATGAGTGGCCCACTGACAGGTTCTGAGATCTGTTGAGGATTTAGGTGTTCTCCCAAGAATGATGGGAAACTATGGCAGGGTTCCCTCTATGTGGGAAGTGTGGTGGCATGGACTAGATTGGAGTTTTTGAAAGCCTGTCTGACCACAGTGTGGGGAACCTATTGGAGGGGAGCAAGGATGGAGTAGGGAGACCAGAGAGCAAACCCTTGTACAACCCAGCCAGAAATGATTCCAGAATGTTGGTCTGAATGGCTGCAGAAGTGGCGGAGAAGGAGGGAAATTGAACAATTTAAAAGAGATTTCAGAGGAGGAATTGTGAGGATGTGATGATTGCCTGGAAAGGGGATGTTTATTTAGGTTTCTAGTTGGACAAGTCCCTGGGTGGAGGCATCTCCTCCCAGCTGGGAACAGTGCTGAGGCTAGGGAAAAGTTCCTTGATTTCAGCATTAGAAGCAGTGAGTTGGAGCAGAGATAGCCAATAGACCCAAAAGGCAATTATACTCTTGTCCTTTGTTGATTCCTATTCATTGGTTTTGATTCCTGAGGCTCTATTAAAAAGGTCTGTGAGGATGAGTCCATAGAGTGGGTCATGATTAATTAGTGGTGTCTGCCATGGGCATGTCAAAAGGGTTGTGAAGGTGAATCCAGTGGAGTGTGTCACAATTGATTGGTGATGTCTGCTGTGTGCATTGGAGACTGGCAGCTGGGTTGTGTAGTTATTGTAGCTCAGTAGCAAATGGAAGGATGTGAATAAGGTTGCCAAGGTTGAGAGCTCAGTATAAAAAGAGAAATGTTTAGAGTCAAGTTTTGAGGAAATGAACCTTTTAGAAGTTGCTTAGAGGAGTAGGAAAGATCAGGGGAGGTAGAGAAAAACAGATAACTAGGAGGAAACCAGGAGAGTTCAATATTGTGGGAGCCAAGGAAAGAGGCATTTCTAGAAGAATGGGGTGTTAGCATGTCAAATGATGCTGAGAGGTCTGAACCTGGGTTTAGCATACTTTTTCTTTAAAAGGCCAGTGAGTAAATATTTTCAGCTTTGTGGGCCATACAGTTCCTGCCTCAGCAATTCAATTCTGCCACTGTAGCCTGAAAGCAGCCACAGTCAGTACGTAATTGTATGGTATGACTGTGTTGCAATAAAATTTCATTTGCAAAAACAGTCAGTGGGCCAGATCCAGCCTGTGGGGGTTGTAGTTTGTAGATTCTTTTCTAGAAGATAAAGACGAGCACAGGCCTTTGCCATTAGCTGCATAGGATTCTCCTGATAGACAGAGGGAACGAATTAGGCTGAGGGGAAATGAGACTGAGAAAAGAAGGAACGAGATAGGATGATGGCTGGATGGGAAAGTGGGACCAGGAAGGGCTTGCTTTCTTATAGCTTAAATGCTGATGAGAAGGAGCCATCAGAAAGGGAGGGGTGAAATGCAGGGGAAAGGGGAGGTGTTAAGAAGTGAGGACGAAGGAGATCCAGGGCCTAAGCAGGGAAGGGTCCTAGAACTGAGTCAGGCAGCTTCCAGTGTTGGAGGAGGGGAGTGCTGGTGTGGATGCCTTTGGCAGTGATGTGGAACCAATTCTGTAATAAGGATCTAGTAAAAGTTTGAAGTATTAAGAAGCCTGAAAACACGCACTGCTTTTATAATAGACTAGAATGGGTGATTCTGGAAAGAGACCTGAGGCAGCCTTTTGTGGGCCACTCAACTGCACATTCTATTTTATCCCACTTCCAACAGCCTTTAAAATAAGTTTTGACTTGTATAGACCCACAATCCCTTATCCATAATTTTAAAAGTCCAGAAACTTCTAATAAATATGGTTTTCTCGAGTGCAGTTTGTATTTGGTGGCAAAGCCTTACTCATTTTAGGGTGTGAGGCTGGCATTGTTGCTGTGCCTCCAGTTTGTCTGAATTAGCATGCTTCTGTGAGAAATTGTTACTGTGTGTGATTGCAAGGTCCTGCCCCAGCAGCCACCGAAAGGGTTTTATCTTTTATGGAGAATATTCCCTATTTGAAAATTTGGAAAGGGATGAATTCCCAAAGCCCCTTGACCCTGGTAATGTGAGATAAGAGTGTATCCTACCTGGTGTAAGCCAGTAAGTCCTCTGTATCTCCCATTGAGTGGGGGAACTGCCTTGCCCACACCACAGGTGTTCAGGTGACTTGCTGATTAACGAAAGAGGTTTCCTATGTCAATGCCAGTGGCGGCCCTACAATATGCTCATGTTCTCTCTGGTGCCTGGGCCTTTGTGGCTGCCATGTTCTTGGTTGCTGTCTGTTGCATGGTCTCCTTGCCCTGTGGAGCAACTCCTTTAAATGGCTGTGCTGCTTCTTCTAGGCACTTTGGCTGGGGTCATCGATCTTGCAGTCGACTGGATGACGGACCTGAAGGAAGGAGTCTGCCTGTCTGCCTTCTGGTACAGCCATGAGCAGTGCTGCTGGACATCCAATGAAACTACTTTTGAGGACAGGGACAAGTGCCCCCTGTGGCAGAAGTGGTCAGAGTTGTTGGTGAATCAGTCAGAGGTGGGTGTCTGTGCAGGGGCCTGGCTGGGAATCCCCACCAGTCTGTGATACGTGAATGCGCATGCTTTCTACCTTCTTTTTCCTTATTTTTTCCACAGTGCTGCGAATGGGACCCAGGGCCCAGTGCATGCTAAGCAAGCATTCTACCATTGAGCTACACCCCAGCCCTTTTTATTTTATTTTGGGGTAGTTTCTTGCAAAGCTTCCCAGGCTGGCCTTGAATTTGCTATCCTCCTGTCTCATCTTTCCAAGTGTCTGGGGTTATAGGCACAGCCACTGTGCTTGCTTGCTTTCAGTTTTAAGATGTCCCTGGTGTAATTCTAGGATGGCTTGTTTTCTTCTAGCTCTAATGCTACTTCTGAAACTTCACTTGGAAGAAAATACTTCTCTACTGTTTTATGTACATGGTGTGTGTGTGTGTGTGTGTGTGTGTGTGTGTGTGTGTGTGTATCTCTTTATGTATGTAAAAGCCTTTTGTCTGCCTTTTTCTTACCAAGGGTGGTTTTTGATCATGCTAAAGAACTAGTGCTGATTTTTATGCCTTCTAATAGAGGAGAAAAGATGTTACATTTTAAAAAAATAACAGCTTTAATGAGATATTTTACAGTTCATATGGTTCTTCCATTTAAAATGTACAATCCAATGGCCTTTAGTATATTCACAGAATTGTGTAACTATCACCATAATCAAATTTTAGAACATTTTCATTACCTCTTCCCTCAAAACCCTGTACCCATGAGTAGTCACTCCCATGTTCCCCCAACCTGCCAGTCTGAGGCAACCACTAATCTACTAGCTGTCTATAGATTTGCCTCTTCTATACATTTCACATAAGTGGAATCACGTATAATGTGCCCTTTGTGTCCCTTGAGAATAATGGCTCCTTCATGTTGTAGCATGAACCAGTACTTCCTTTTCATGACTGGACAATATTTCATTGTATGGATAGATTACTTTTTATTTATCAATTCATCAGTTGATGAACATGAGTTGCTTCCACTTTCTTGGCTATTCTGAATGATGCTGTTATGAACATCTGTATGCAAATTTTTGCATGGACATACATTTTATTTCTCTAGGGTATGAGTGGAACTTCTGGGTCAGATGGGAACTCTATGTTGAATCTTTTGCGGAACTTCCAGAATGTTTTCCAAAGTGGCTGCATCATTTTACATTCCCACCAGCAGTATATGAGGGTTCCAATTTGTCTACCTTCTTGCCAACACTTGCTAATATTTTTTTTATTATTCCTAGCCTAGTGAGTGGGAAGTGGTATCTCATTGTCATTTCAGTTATCATCCCCCATTGCATTTTATGACTGCATTACAGAGGATGTTTCTGGACCTTCTATGAAGAAAATGTCTAAGGCATAGAGAATGTTATGGTGATGCACAGATCCAGTGCTTATCTTCTTGGCAATTATGGCCTCATATCTTTATAAAAATCTTAGCTCTGGAAAGGGTTAACTTCTTACTAAATTCAGTGGTTACCACAATGAATAGGGGTCATTGATGAATCAGAAAGCCAGGTGACGACACTTAGTGGCCAAGTTTCACGTTAGTAGTATTGGGAGGACTCTTCAAGGTAGAACTATGCTTGGAAGATATATGTATTGTATTCGTACATCTCCTTCCTTCCCCACTTTTTTGTTCTTGTCTGACTCACTTACCACAGCTGAGGACATTTGGAATGCACTTTGCCATTTTGCTAAACCTCTGTCTCAGAGGAATTGAAAATTTATTCTTTCACATCTCATAAGTAGACAGGGATCTTGAAATCTCACACATTCTCAATGCTCTCCATTACTTCCAAAAAGAAATTCTCTACCTGGTTTGGTGGTAGTGGGCAGGCGGGATTGGCTGGCTTCCATATTTTATTTCTTCTCTCATAGTCACAATATACATTTGAGGGGAAATATGGCTGTCGATCTTTTCAACTGATTTTCAGATTTATACTTTGATTCAAAGAATTACTGTTTGCAAGAGTGAGAAGTTATTTTTAGCTTCCCCAAAAAGTCCATATTTAAGTGGGTGAAAGGTATTCCTCAGTCTGATTGCTCACCACATAGGGTGTGAATATATGTGCTTGCAGTGCAGCTTCCAGGAACATGTTGTTGCTTTTAATAGGCACACATGTGGCTGTGGCCGTGGCCAAACTTGTAGGTGATCTCTCTTTCCTTTCCCCCTCACTTGAGTAATCCAGATGGTAATAGAAGCTGAGGTCTAAAAAATGAGGTCTCCACTCAGCAGATCAGGTCCTTGACCCAAAGACCCCAGACTGTGTTTTTGGTTGAGAAACCATTCTCCACACATCAGATAATTTGGAGTAAATGGCTCAGTGAATTATTCTGAAGGAGATGATCAAGCATTTCCACTCAAATTGTGCCTCTCAAATGTCCGTGTGCATGAGAATCGCCCAGAGAACTTGTTAAACCACACAGAGCTGAGTTCCAGCCCATAGTGTCTGATTCAGCAGCTCTGGGGTGGGGCCGCTCTAATAAGCTCCCAGGTGATGCTGATGCTGCTGGTCCATGAACCATACTTAGAGGAGCCGTCTTCCAAAACACAGTTCTGAAGCTTACTCATTGGCAATGCAGTGTCTTGCTGCGGTATGGGTGTGGCTGTAATGAAAGCTAGGAGAGGCCAACCCACCACAGACAAGACAAAACAAATCTTCCCAAGTCTTGGAGGCAGAGTTTTCTGTGTCACACCTTTTATTAACTCTAGTGCAAGTGGTAATTACAACTCAGCAGCATTCATGATTTCCATTACTGCAAAAATTTCACCCAGTGGAAGGTAGGTGTAAACAACTCCTGGAGGAACACTGGGTGCTGTTTGTGTGTAGTGACTGTAGCAATAGCAAAAAATGACAAATCCAACACTGGCCCCTTTGTTTATGTGGGACAGGGCAAACCAGTTCAGTCCCATCTCAAGATGGAGGGTGTGGGGTTGAGTAGTTGCTCAGGTCTGCTGTGGCTCATGTTTTCTTTCTTGTTTTGTGTCTGTTGTTTAGGGTGCCAGCGCTTACATTTTGAACTACTTAATGTACATCCTGTGGGCATTGCTGTTTGCATTTTTGGCAGTCTCTCTGGTGCGTGTATTTGCGCCATATGCCTGTGGTTCTGGTATACCAGAGGTGAGTTGTGGTTGAATTTCTTTTGTACCAATAATAAGAGTAGCAAATAATTGTGTAGCACTGTAGTGCCAAGCACAGTTTCAAGTATCTAGCATCTGTCAACACATTTATTCCTCACAATAAGCCTGTGAGGTAAGTACTATCAGTCTTCATTTAACAGTCAATGAAACTAAAGGCTAGACAGGTTAAGTAACATGCTCAAGGTCACTAAACTGGTAAGTTGTGAGTTGAACTCAGAAATTTGACTTCAGGATTAATACTCTATCTTCAGGATTTTTGCTCTGTTGTGTCTTAGATGATTAAATGCCTATCTTTATAAAGCAGACTGAACTTTTGTAGCATGTGAGATCAGAGTTCATTAACCATCTACATAAATCTGGCACTGTAATAACTCATAAGTGCATTTATCATGTAATGTGAAAACAGACAATACTGGAGGATCATTGCTGAGAACATTTACTGAACATCAAACTCCTTTGCCACATTTTGCTCTTCTGGTGACAAGGTAATAGCAATCTTGAAAAAATTAATTCTTCTTTTAGTGCATGTACTAGGAATGTAGCCCTGTGAACTTAGAGTTCTTGTAAATAGTTTTCAGCGCTTTTATGTGACCAGGGTAGGAGGGAAGTGACCTCATCCATCAACAAGAATACCTGAGACTGAACTTGAAAGCTAGGAGGATTGACTGGGCAGAATAATGATAACTGAGCTGATTCCCAAAAAAGCCCAGACAATGAAAATTTTAGCCAGAAATAATGTTTGAAGTTCTTATATTTTCATTTAATCAATGCAATTCAGTTCTCCTTTGGCTTGGCACTTCAGCAATGCCCACAGGCAGTGGAGATAGTGAGTTTAGAGATGGAGTTATGGGCTAGTCGTGGCAATGGATCTACACCCTTCTGGGTGCCTTCCCATACTGACTATTATCCAGCTAGTTTACAGAAAGAGATGGAGTGATTAAAAGATGGTCACAGGAAAAATTCAACATGGTCTTATTTCAGAAAAGAGAAGAAACAGTCAATATGCCACACTGAATTTTGATGGCTTATTTTAACATATTGCTTCAGGAACCAAAAAAACAAGCTGTATTACCATCCTGTTTCCTCAGTGCAGCCAATTCTGCTATAATGAGACATATGTACTCTGAAAAATTACTGCTGTGCAGAATGGCACTGTAGAAACCATGGGTTTATGGGGAAAATGGGCTAGAAGGGCACAACACTCAAAAACTTCCCCAGTGGAAGACAACCATTAGACTTTTCCACTCTACTTTTTGGGTCCATTTTGAGTTTTAAATGAGATAATGTGTGTAAAGCTCACAGAGCAATGCGTAGCAATTAGGAAAAAGAATTTAACAAATTTGTATCATGAAGGACATTATTAAAATAATAGCATTAAAAAAATTTCCCCAGTGACACAGATTTAAAAATTAGGACCCAAATAAAAATAGTAGTAATGCAGTGGTACACATGTCAAATGGCTAAAAAATATGTAAATTCTACAATACATATGTCACTTATTTTTTTTATTTGTTGTAATTAGTTATACATGACAGCAGAATGCATTTTGACACATTGTACACAAATGGAGCACAATTTCTTCCATTGGCTGTATGTGATGCAGAGTCACACTGGTCATGCAATCATACATGTACATAGGATAATAATGTCGGTCTCATTCCACCATCCTTCCTACCCCCACCCTCCCTCCCCTCCCCTCACTCCCCTCTACCCAATCCAAAGTTCTCCATTCTTCCTTACCGGCTGCATTATGGATCAGCATCCACTTATCAGAGAAAACATTTGGCTTTTGTTTTTTTCAGATTGGCTTATTTTGCTCAGCACCAGCTCCATCCATTTACCTGCTAATGCCATAATTTCATTCTTCTTTAAGGCGGAGTAATATTCCATTGTGTATATATGCCATGTTTTCCTTATCCATTCATCTGTTGAAGAGTACCTAGTTTGGTTCCATAGCTTAGCTATTGTGAATTGAGCTGCTATAAACATTGATGTGGCTGCGTCACTGTAGAATGCTGATTTTAAGTCCTTTGGATACAGACAAAGGAGTGGAATAGCTGGGACAAATGGTGGTTCCATTTCAAGTTTTCTGAGGAATCTCCATACTGCTTTCCATAGTGGATGTACCAATTTGCAGTCCCACCAGCAATGTATGAGAGTACCTTTTCCCCACATCCTTGCCAACACTATTGTTGTTTGTATTCTTGATTGCCATTCTGACTGGAGTAAGATGAAATCTTAGAGTAGTTTTGATTTGCATTTCTCTAATTGCTAGAGATGTTGAATATTGTTTCATATATTTGTTGATCGATTGTGTTTCACTCTTGAAAAAAACTTGATGTGTGTTTATGGAAGTGAGTATCAGAAGGGATGCAGCATATGAGTTCCTATGAAGGGGTGGAAGGAGGGTATGTTAGTCAGCTTTTCATCACTGTGACTTGAGGAAAACAACTTAAAGGAGTAAATATTTATTTTGGTTCATAGTTTCAGAAGTTTCAGTGTGTGATAAGCTGACTCTGTTCCTTTGGGCCTGTGGTGAGACAGTGCATTATGGCAGAAGGGCATGGCAGAGAAGCTGCTCAGCTCATGGCAGCTGGGAATCAAAGAGAAAGAAAGAAGCTGGGGACAAGATATAGTCTTCAAGGGTTTGCTTTCATGGATCCGTTCCCTCCAAGTAGGTCCCACCTCCTACAGTTTCCACCACCTACCATTCAGCTATCAATCTGCTAATGGATTAATCCATTGATAAGGTTAGAAGCCTTATGATCCAATCACTTCCCAAAGACCCCTGCCTCTGAACATTGCTAAATTGGGGACCAAACTTAGAACAGTTAGCCTTTGGGGGACATTCCAGATCCAAACCATAATTGAGGGTGATCTGAAATCAGAGGGGAAGTTGTGATGTCAGGTATAGACAGTCATGGCTAGCACATGGACTGGTACATGTGTGAAATATGTGCAATTTGTGTTTTTCTACATGGCTCTGTTCAACTGGGTGCAGTTTTCTGCATTCACCTCATATTTTTTTTTTCTGGAGGAAATTGTGTATTAACAGGCACAAACTTTATGCTCAAGTTTCTCTCTAATATATGAATAGCATTGGGACCAATCTGCATTTTTAAATCAGGTGTTATATAAAAGTGACTGTATTTTATGTGGTGCCCAAAGCCTAAGGCACCCTGGACAATAAAAAGGACAGATCATCGTTGGCATCCCATTTTATGAACCCAGTGCCCACCAGTCAGTGTTTTGACTCAGGCCTTTCCAAAATAAGGAGATGGTCAGTGGGGAATTGGAAAATCTAAAGCAGCAACATAAGACACCATGGGCAGGCTCCTCACCCTCTAAGGATCAGAGATGTGTGGCTCATGGAGAGAGAAAGCTCAAACGTGAGCTCTGTCTTTGAGGGTTTTGTGACTTTTTCTTCTCTAAAGTGGGCATCATTATCGGAGATAGCTGAACTCAAAAGGAGTCAAATACTGAGTTGAGCATTTAAGTTTCTTATGTGACAAAAGTACAGGAAACATTGACAAAAATATGAGGTCATGTTAAGAAAGTAATTTTCAGAAGAATATGTAAAATATGATTGTAGTCATATAAAGTCCACAAACAGTCAAATTGAAACAACATATGTGCTAATGTGGTCAAGAAAGGAAGAGAGGGCATCCCTTTTTTGGGACCCCTCCCTCTTTGGTAGCTCTGCTTTCTTTCTATTACTCTAATAAATCCTGTTACTCTGTTACTTTGCTCTCAAAAAGAGAAAAGAAAGGCAGAGAAAAGGTGAGGGAAAGGAGGAAGGTTCCATTTGGGAGGCAAACAGGGAATTCACTCTTTTATCTCTTCTACTTGGTAGTGGGTTTGTGGGTGCTTCTTTTATCAACATTCTTTTAAGCATAGGTAAGTGTGTAATAGATTCATTTTTCTATTTATAAAAGTTTTCACCTCAATCTTTTCAAGTATCAGGAACCAATGGAAGTTTTGTAATTAAGTATGGTTATGACTCATCAGTAGCAAAGTTTTCACTGTTATCATTTCAAAGCTGGAAATCCCTCCCATAAGGCTGCAGTGCTCTAGCACTGAGCTATGCCCCAACTCAAGGCACGTTTCTAAAAGTGCTCATCCTCCCTCTCAGAACTTATTCTAAGTTGATGTTTCTGTTCCTTACAAAACATGAACACTTGTGCAAATATTGATCAATCAGAAAGGGTTCTGGTTTTAAGGGTAACATCACCCAGTCACAAATCCACTGCATTAAAGCCCTGCTTGCTTCAGTCTCTATGAATTCAAATTAAAGCAAATGATTGGATTTTGGCATCTACTGGGAATGAATTTGCCTTCTTTAGTTCCTAATTTGATCATGACAATTTTATAAAATCATTTTAGAGAATTATAAAATACCTAATACACTGTTCAATTCGCCACATGTCATGGCTGGCAAAGGCTCAGGTAATTTCGATGCTTGTAATTTTCTAAATGGTATTACGCTTTTAAACTGTACCCTGGGGTCCAAATCCACATTAACTAACTGACAAAAAATTACAGATAATTTTATTTGAGGCAACACAAAAGGGCAGGATTGTGGCAGGCATAATAAAACATCCCTTAAATAAAGCGATCTCAGATTCCCCAGAGCACAAGCTCAATCAGTTCAACTACCACTAGTTAAATACTAGTTTAACCACTGCTAGTTGGTCTGCTATTAGTTCAAGGCTAGTTCAAAAAATACTCTCTGATTATGGCTCAGAGATCTCATGTAAGTTCTAGAGGAAGGAGCTCTCAGAGTTTTTGGGAATGCACAAGTGCGTGCGTGTGTGCAAGTGTGTGCTCTCTCCTTTCCCTTCCCCTCACTCTCACCCCTCCTTGCTCTCCTTGAATTAAGAAACATATCTCTATCAATAATTCCTGAGGTGAAAATGGTCCTGTCCACAGACCTTTAAAATTAGAGGATTCATTCAATAACCTTTCCAAAATCACCAAAGTTGATCTGATGTTCAGTAGAAAAAGCTAGTGAAAAAATAGAGTGTTTCAGGGCTGTCCCTGAAATGTCAAGAAATTAGGAATAGCTGTATTACTCTTTTCAGGAATGAAGCACTTTAGAATCACCTGGGGAGGCTATAAAAATTCCTATACTTGGATGCACCCCAGATCAACTATAGCAGATCTCTGCAGTGAGAGCCAATTCTCAATATTTCCTAACTTGCTGGGTAATTCTGATGAGCATCAAGGTTGAGAAGGATTTTCATAGCTATTTGAGGAATTGCTTAGATGGCAGAGCACTGCTCAGAAGGAGGCATTTTGAAGTTATGTAAATGACACTGATAAGAGATAACATTGTACCATCATGTATTACACAATGGGAAAACAAAATTGACCAGTAATTTCACTGAATTCTTATCTAATTAATCTATGATTAGAGGTTTGCAAATTGCCACCTTAGCAGTGAACACTCACTCCATTTTAGCCAAGTATGAGAGAGGTTGGAGGTAGAAGTTATTTTGCTATCAGTGATGCTTCTATCTATGCAAAAGAATACCATTTAGTGGCAAATGTTTTCTCTGATATAAGGTGACTGACTCATAGAGGGGTAGGGAGAGGGAGCATGGGAGGAATAGATGAACTCTAGATAGGGCAGAGGGGTGGGAGGGGAAGGGAGGGGGCAGGGAGTTAGCAATGATGATGGAATGTGATGGACATCATTATCCAAAGTACATGTATGAAGACATAACTTGGTGTGAATATACTTTGTATATAATCAGAGATAGGAAAAATTGTGTTCTATATGTGTAATAAGAATTGGGATGCATTCCACTGTCATGTATTTAAAAAATAAAAGCAATTAAAAAATACCATTTAGGGAAGTGGACTTCAGTATACAAAGTTAATCACCAAGATTAGTATCCAGTTGAATTCTAAATGTATTACACAAAGGCTCATATGTGCCTATAGGAAGAAAGTCATTATTTGGTGAAGTGGAGCAAGTCTGAAAATGGAGCAGGATGTTTCCCTGTATTCAGTCTTTTCCAATACAAGAGGGTAGGATTTGATGGAAGGGAAAAATTTGGAGAGCAGATCGTACACTGTCCTGGATAGTATTATTAAAACTCCTATCCTCCTCTCCATTCTGTCTGGAGCATAAATCATCCAGTCTATCTATGCTGAGTACACTACCCTCGCATTAGTCAATAGCTATCTTGGTTATCAGATTGATTGCAGTTCTTCTGTTCAAGTAACTCTCATTTTATTTAATAATGGCCCCAAAGAATAAGAGTAGTGATGCTGACAATTTGCATATTCCAAAGAGAAGTTGTAAAGTCATTCCTTTAAGTGAAAAGGTGAATGTTCTTGACTTATGGAAAGAAAAAGTATTGTATGCTGAGGTTGTTAAACTCAATGATAAGAATGAATCTTCTGCCCATGAAATTATGAAGAGGAAAAAAACATTTCATGCTGATTTTGCTGTTGCTCCTAGAACTGCAAAAGTTATGGTCATAAGTTGTAGATGAATGCTTAGTTAAAATAGAAAAGCCATTACATTTTTGGGTGGGAGACATGAACAGAAAATGCGTTCTAATTGATATAATGTTCTATTTTATTATTAGTTATTGTTAAATTCTTATGTGCCTAATTTATAAATTAAACTTTATCATAGGTATGCATGCATAGAGAAAAACATAGTATATATAGGACTTGGTACTATCTGAGGTTTCAGACATGCACTGGGGGTCTTGGAATATATCCCTGTGGGTAAGTGGGGGGACTACCATAATTCAAACTTTTGTTAATATAATATCAAATTGAAGACACATCAAAAACTAAGATAGCTTCTCTTCATGTGCTTTAGTGAATCTATCTTGGATGCATTACAGCTCTTTTTCTACCTATGGCTGGAAGCTTTTCAATCCCCCTTGCTCTCTGTCCTCTGTTTCAGATAAAGACCATTTTGAGTGGCTTTATCATCAGGGGCTACTTGGGGAAATGGACCCTGCTAATCAAGACAGTCACCCTGGTGCTGGTTGTATCATCTGGCCTGAGCCTTGGGAAGGAAGGGCCACTGGTACATGTGGCTTGTTGCTGTGGCAACTTCTTCAGCAGCCTGTTCTCCAAGTACAGCAAAAATGAGGGCAAAAGGCGTGAGGTGAGCCAGCTCAGCTTCCATCTGTGGGGAAGGATTCTTCTCAGGGCCCTGGATTCCCTGACCCCTGCCTTTGGCTCACCTGCACAGAGCATACTTATAATGATTTGCTTTGCAGGTGCTTTCAGCTGCTGCTGCTGCTGGAGTGTCTGTGGCCTTTGGTGCTCCCATCGGAGGTGTACTGTTCAGTCTAGAGGAGGTGAGAAGGGGCAGTGAGGGCATTTGTGGTTTTGAGTGGCAAGGCATATGTGGGTGGTTGGCAGAGCAGAAAGCCTTCATCTACCCTTGGGAGATTAGACTCACAGAAGTACTGAATAAGGTTCCTTCAGTTAACTGAGGAGCCACAATTTCCACCATTAGATATGTTTTCAAGTATTTTTTAAAGAGTGATATAAACTCTTTAAAGTTTGAATGTTTTTTTTTTTTCACATGCAGAAGCGAGAGTAAAATAAAGGAAAGGGGGGGGGAGGATAAGAATACATAACAACCAATCAAATTCAAATTAATAGCTGAGTGAAAAGAAGGCTAGTAGAGTAAAGGAAGGAGAAGGGAGAGGGGAGGGAAATTGGGAGGGAAAAGGGAAGGATCATGAACTGAAATTGATTTTCATGCATGTATGAGTTTGTCATAATGAACCCAACTACTATGTATAACCATAAAGCTCCAATAAAAAATATTGCCAATATAATTTTGGGGGAGATTTATAGTATCTTCTCTCTCATAACCAAATTGGGTTCTATTTTGTTTTTGAAACCTGAGTGGATCAATCGTATGATTGGCAAATGTTTTTTGAAAAGGGCTAAACAATAACTATTTTAGGCTATGTTGGCCACACAATTTCTGCTACAGCCAGTTAACTCTGCTGTTGTAGCAGGGAAGCAGCCAGACAGTGCCTCCATGAGTGGGCATGGCTATGTGCCCTGAAAGCTTTCCTTGTGGACACCAAAATTTGAATTTCATGTAATTCTCAAATGGCACAAAAACTGTTCTTCTTTTGAATAGATATTTCATGTCATAAGTTGCTTTTTTTCTTTTCTGACTATTAAAAAGGTAAAAACCATTCACAATTCGTGTGCCATATATATATTGCTGGCCAGAATTTTCCAATCCTTCATCTTTCTGTTGTCTATAGAATCAAATCCAGAGTTTTATTTACATTTTGGAGGACCTATGTGCTGTGAACACTATTGGCAATATTATGAGTAAATATTTTTGTCTCTCTCTCTCTCTCAGTGATGGGGATATAACCCTGGGTGGGTGTCGAGCATGCTGAGTGTTCCCTCAACCACTGAGCTACACCCCTAGCTCTTTACTTCTCTTAAAACATAGCTCAAACCAGGCATAGTGCTGCATGCTTGTAATTCCAGCAACTCAGGAGGCTGAAGCAGGAGGATTGCAAGTTTGAGGTCAGCCTTGGCAACTAGTGAGACCCTGTCTCAAAATTTTAAAAGACTGGGGATGTAGCTTAGTGGTAGAGCACTGCTGGGTTCAATGTCCAATACCCTGACAAAAGAAAAAAGAAAGAAAAATATGAACTCAAACCTACATTGATTAGTATCTAATCAATATAGTATCTATGCCACTTTTCCACATAGATTCCCTAAATATCTTTATTGGTGCATTTTGGTCACAGTTAAACCTAGACTGATGAAGTATGTGCCACTTACCTTTTGTCTTAGATTGTATTTTTCCTGCTAAGTGCCAGCAGGTAGATACTGACACAAGGGGAAGGGATCTGAGCTGCTTTTTCTCTGGCCAGTCTCCAATTTTCTTCTTGTTTGTCCCAGGTCAGTTACTATTTTCCTTTGAAGACCCTGTGGAGGTCATTTTTTGCAGCCTTGGTGGCAGCCTTCACACTGCGATCCATCAACCCCTTTGGAAATAGCCGCCTTGTTCTCTTTTACGTGGAATACCACACACCTTGGTACATGGCTGAACTGTTTCCCTTCATCCTGCTTGGAGTCTTTGGGGGCTTGTGGGGAACCCTCTTCACCCGCTGCAACATTGCCTGGTGCAGGAGGCGCAAGACCACCAGGCTGGGGAAGTACCCGGTACTGGAGGTCATCGTGGTGACAGCTATCACTGCCATCATTGCCTACCCCAACCCCTACACGCGCCAGAGCACCAGTGAGCTAATTTCTGAGCTGTTCAATGACTGTGGGGCCCTTGAGTCCTCCCAGCTCTGCGACTACATCAATGACCCCAACATGACTCGGCCTGTGGATGACATTCCAGACCGGCCAGCTGGGGTTGGGGTTTACACAGCCATGTGGCAGCTGGCCCTGGCACTGATCTTCAAAATCGTCATTACAATATTTACCTTTGGCATGAAGGTAAGTGAAGGGGAGGGTCAATGGGGAGGGGAGGTTCTGTGTCTTTCTGGGGAAAGCACCCTCTTCTCCAAAATAAAATTGTGATCTGAGAAGGAGGGAAACTGAACTTTCTTGTATGTTCTCATGTGGTTGACATTCTTTTAATCAACAGGAAACAATTCTCTTAATAACTGACAACCCTGTGGAGTTGAAATTTTAATCTCGTTTTATAATCAAGGGTAGCTAAGGCCCAGAGGCCATAGATGGCTTTGTCAGACCCACAGTTTATGGGAGACAGAACTAGGCATCAAATTTGCCTCATCACCTTCACAGACCAGGGGTAAGCAGAAGTTTATCTGTCAGCTGGGTGATAGCAGGGAGTGGAAGAAGCCCAGGTTTGGCTTGAAGGGATCAGCAAATGCCTTGAGCTTCAGCTGTATCCTGAGCACTGTGCTAAGTCCCAGGAACACAGAGCCTGATACAGAATGCTGCCCTTAAAGAATATACCACTCTAAGAGAGACACATGCAAACCCAGTGTTTGGAGATGGTGTGATGAGTACCCTATATACCAGGACCACAGGATGAGAACATAGAGTAAGCATGTCCCTGGCCTGGGTGGGGCTAGGCTAGCAGGAGCTCCTTGTATATGTCCTCTCTTCATGGAAAGTGTTCCTGTGAGCTGTTTTTATTGTTCCTAGAATCAGAGGACAGAGCAGCTTTCATTCTTTTTAAAACACTCTGGTAAATCAGTTCAGATATACTTTGAAAATCCTTCCTAAAGAGCTTTCTTTCATGGACTCTGGCATTTGAGTTATTTTTGCCTTTTAAATTTTGGGAAAACGGAGGACAAGTTCATACAATATAAAAATGGATCATTTTGAAGTATACAAGTCATTGGCTCCTGGAAGCTGCTCATTTGGTCTTTGTCTCAATGGATTTACCTATTTTAGACTTTTCATATAAATGGAATGTGTAGCCATTTGTATCTGGCCTCTTTCACTGAGCATGGTGTTTTCAAGGTTTCTGTGTGATGTAGTAGGTGTCAGTGCTTCATTCCTTTTTTGTGGCTGAATACTATTCCATTCTATGGATATTCCACATTTTGTTTATCCTCTCATCCTTTGATGGACATTTGTGTTGTTTCCACCTCTTGGCTATTACGAATAGTCCTATTATTGCTTATTTTTTAAAAATATTAGAATGTGCACAGCTTGATGAATTTTCACAAAGCACACATGCTGTATAAACAGCACCCAGGACCAGAAACAGAGCATTACTCACCCTCCAAAGCCCCTTGTTATGTTCTATTACTCTTGCTTTTTATGTGATATTTCTGTGAATTTTCTCTTCAAAAAATCTAAAAACTGGTGAACTTGAGTATATAGTAAAAAACACAAACCAGAATTTGTGCCTTAAGAACAAGGATGGACATCATTAAACAACTGACTGGTTCTAATCCATCAGCTCCTAGCAATGGGATTTATTTTCATGTCTGAGGAAGATGCTAGTAGCATCTTTGGTGCTTGCTGAGAGAAGTTTACTTTGAAGTGTCAGGGGATTAAATTACTGTGGAATAAGAGGAAGTTCAGAAAGAACAATTTCCTAAGGAATGTTTCAAATTCCAATAATTGCACATGAGGACCCAAACTGAACTTCTGAGGTTGAAGACGTACTTCCATCCTCAGATTGATGACCACCTGGGGCAGGCAGAAATGTGCCCAGGATCAGCAGTTGTATGGGATCCCCAAGAATGTGGGGAGTCAGGCATGTTCTGTAGCACGTATATGGTCACTAGGTAAACCAACATGTATTTTCATTCAGCTAAGTAGGTAGCATTCTGCTACCAACATCATTTTGGTTACATAGTCTGTTTCCTTGCTGCCTCTACCCTGGCTGGAAAAATATCAGAATGCCTCTTGGAAAATGTACTTCGTTAGGAAAAGGGTACTTTCCCTCATCTGTCTCTGACGAGTGTCCAGCAATCATCCTTTAAAGAGGGCAGTGAGCCCTTGAAAAGCCTTTTGGAAGACCCAGGCAGCTGCAACGATGCATTCAGCTTCTCTATTTTACCTGGGAGCAATTGCAGACCCTTCTATTCCATTTTCATGCTGTGACTTGACATTTAATTTTCAAAGCCAATCTGAATGACACAGCAAGAGGAGCAAGAAAGTGGTGAGAGTCTCAGGTGACAGATGCTCACTTTGAATGTTATTTGCAGTGAGGCTTATCATTCTTTAATCCACAGCAGGCAAACTGGCCAGCTTTTGAAGGAGAGGAAATGAAAGTGTCAAATTGCATTCTCTCCAAGTTGCAGTAGACTCACTTACTAAGCAGGTCAAATTGCTTGTCCCACCTCTTCCCAGCTGACTTGTTTTGAAGAGTTGCACCTCCTTTGAAGGCTAAAGCCAAAAGAGTGCTTGTTGAAGGGGGATTTCATTTCCTGGGGGTTAGGAGGCAGGAACTCGGCCTCCTTTCCTTAGTCTGCTTTTCTCTGTGTGCTCCCTCCAGATCCCCTCAGGCCTCTTTATCCCGAGCATGGCTGTGGGAGCCATGGCAGGCAGGATGGTGGGAATTGGTGTGGAGCAGCTGGCCTACCATCACCATGATTGGATAATCTTCAGGAACTGGTGCAGACCTGGGGCAGACTGTGTCACACCAGGACTTTATGCAATGGTGGGAGCTGCTGCCTGCCTAGGTATGTCTACAAGTAGGGAGGGAGGGAGTGGAATGCTGATCTGACTTAGAGGACGAGCATGAAGGAAGACAGGGACTTGGTCATTGGGATTACTCAGGATAGGCTAGGTTATGCTGCAGTAACAAGTAAGCTACATCTCAGTGGCTTAACATTTAGTGTTATATATCTTGCTCACAGCATTTATACACACACACATATATAGATAACATATATATTATATATACATGTATGTGTGTTCATAAGAGTCTTATCCACCCAGTCATTCAGAGGTCCAGGCTGATGGAGCTTTGATTCTTTTAAAGCTGTACTAGCTAGAACAACGATTCTCAGCCAGTAATTCTGATGTCTTGGGGCACCTGGCAATGCCTAGAGACATTTTTGGTTATCACAAATGAGGGTGCCACTCAAATATAGTGAATAAAGGCCAAAGATACTGCTAAACTTGCTTTAGTGCATGGGACAATCCTGATAACAAGGAATGTCCTTAGTATTGAAGTCAAAAAACACTGGTTTAAGTTTATTGGATTAGTTGTTGGTTTGGATTGTCTCTTTAAATACCAAGGGATACAAAGTTGGGTCTGTCCCTAGTTTGATAACCCTAAGAATTTCTACAGTTTTCCAGATTATGGGTGCTTGCTCAATTGGAAGCCTATATAGCCCATGTAGGATCCACTCACCAAAAATCCAAGCATGTGCCCCTAGTCAGGTTACTTCCAGTTCCCTGATGCCAGGCCAAATTAGAATAAATATGAGGAGAACTGGAGTCTTATTTCTCTTAAGGAAAACTTGGAGACTTGGATTGAGCTGCATTTGGGGGTTGTGAGCCTGTCAGTTTTCACAAATTGTGCCCTAATAAGGGCTTTGGATTGAGTCCAAGAATTGCACTCCTCTCCTCTTCCATTGCAGGTGGAGTTACCAGGATGACAGTGTCACTGGTGGTCATCATGTTTGAATTAACTGGTGGTCTGGAGTACATCGTGCCCTTGATGGCAGCAGCTGTGACCAGCAAGTGGGTGGCCGATGCCTTTGGGAAAGAAGGCATCTATGAGGCCCACATCCACCTGAATGGGTACCCATTTCTTGACGTGAAGGATGAGTTCACCCACCGCACCCTGGCCACTGACGTGATGCGGCCCCGGCGGGGAGAGCCACCACTGTCGGTGCTCACCCAGGACAGCATGACCGTGGAGGATGTGGAGACTCTGATTAAGGAGACAGACTACAATGGCTTCCCAGTGGTGGTCTCCAGAGACTCTGAGCGTCTCATTGGGTTCGCCCAGAGGAGGGAGCTGATCCTGGCCATAAGTGAGTAAGGAGAGGGAAGATCACTTTTTTTACTGAGATGATTGGATGGCAGCGTTTGTACCCCTAGAAGTATTAAAGGAGTTTGAGTGAGTGTTCTTTGAGCCAGGGGCTGTGAAGCTTCAGTGCAGATCTGTCACCTGGAATCTGGTTAAAATGCAGATTCTGATTGAGCAGGCCTGGGTGGGGCCTGAGACTCTGCATTCCTCCAGAGCTCCCCAAGTCACACTGTGAGGAGCAAAGGTTTAAGCCCACACCCTGGAATAGACATACTTGGTTGGAAATTGACTTCCATGTGTGCAGGCAGCCATCAGGGCCCCATTACTACTAGGAGGCAAGCTATTTGCCACTGCATTTTAAAGAAGTTATTGGATAAAGTTGAGCAGGAAGTGATAATGTGAGATCCTGGAGTTGCCCAGGCCAAGCTGATCTCAAAGATGGGCTTTCAGGCAGGCTACCCAGCTGACTTAGGTGCTGAGTACTCTGCCTCTGATACCTGGCTGGCCCCTGCTCAAGTCTTTGCTACAGTGTATAACGTATGTCCCACTCCACCAGTTAGAAGTCCATGTGGTTTAACTAGTAATATCATTAGAAATCAATTCTATGTAATCATTTTCTCCTCATGTTTGAACTGATATTAGCTGCCCTAACAGGTAGGCTGTGGAACTGGGGTAGGAGAGAAAGGGATGATTCATGGCCAGGTGGAGTGTCCTGTCAAGACAGGCACCTCAGAGAACCAATCTGTGGGCCTCAAGTGGCCTAAGGATGGCTGCAGTAGAGAGGGAGCAGAAGGTGGGAGGATTCCAAAGACAGAGGGAACTGAAGGCCAGAGACTTGGGAGAGAATTGTAGGGAGCCCAAGGCAAGTAGGGGTAGTGAGCCTTGGAGGGGTGGAGTCCTGCCAACCTCAAGATGCAGCAGGGGGAGGGATCAGCGTAGTGCATCTCCTGCATAAGGTGAGCACCATGCCCTCACACTCAGCATCCTTGCTCCATGATCTGCACAGCTTCCCTACATCCCATGATAGACTGGGGCCCATGGCATGGCTCATGTTACTCTCCCTTACACCTTCCAGAGTGTTCCTTATAGTACATCAATGGGACTTTCTTTCCCCAATTGCCCCACTGAGAACACATCTTCACCAGACAATTGCTTCCCCCCAACCCACCCTTTGTTCCTGTTTCTAAGGCACTTCCCTTCAATTTCTAAAACCTCTTCCCTATGTTAAATAGCTTTAAAGTATCTTCCTCAAAGGCTTTATAAAAATTAGTTTAGATAAGCTATACCCTCTAATTTTAGTGTGCCGCTCAAGCATGTTTAGCTCCCCCAAACCAAAGATTGATTTTACATTTTAGACACCATAGCAAGTTTGTGCTCGAAAGCTCAGTGATGCTTCTCTTTATTATAGGTCCTGTCACAGAACAGGTAGTGCCTTTAGGGGTAAATATTGCCTTACAAATAGTGAATTTTTTAAAGTTGTTTAAGTAGGGCTGGGTTTGTTTTAAAATAATGTAATCAGCAGCCTTTAAAAATTTATTCAGTCCCTAAAATCTTTTAAGCAAAGGTTGAAATTTAGAAACTAAAGCAATAAATGTCACAGAATCCATTACCTATTGTGTAGCCCCAGGCACACCTGCTAAGAGACAGCTTACTAATTTTGCTGAAATCCATTACTGTAATCAAGTGGGAAGCAGTAATTGGCATCAACCAGTTAGAGAAGAAATTGAAGCTTTGCAAGCGAGCACTCTCTCACAAGCTATGTTTGGAATGTCTGAAGAGGCACCATGCAGTGTAAATAATACCTCTATGCTTTCAATCAGTCCCATAATAGTGTAGAAGCTGTTATTTACACGGTTTGTGGAAAGGCGAGGGGTGTTTTGCTCTGAGGAATCAGAGAAGCTGTTTTCCTGATCTGTGGAAATAGAAGAGTCACTGTATTTTCATGGAGAAATTCATGAGACCTATATTTGAGGAATTATGTGCTCTCTTATGAATATAGAAATATGACATTAGCACTCAGTTAAAAACTATTCCATGTCAATTTCATTTTTAGGGGAATTGGGGGCAAAGGTTATGGCAGGATAGATCCAAGGTAATTATGATAAGGAAAGAATGCTAAATGAGGAAAATAAGGATTTTTCTAACTTGTCATATTTTAAGTTGTAGCAGCTGCTCATGTGGAGCCAAAAATCTTTTGCCAGTTTTTAGTCCATCCGTGGAATGCCAAGGTGCAGCCATTGTCTTTGTTAGTGAGTGATAGTTAGCATCACCTGGGCAAGGTGGCTGTCTTTGGCATCACAAATTACTAACAGGCAGGACCGTAGGTGACCCTTGTTCAAATTCCTGGTAAATGGGCCTTTACCTTGCCTTACTCTTTGCAGATATGAGGCTCTTTCTGTCTTGAATTTTGCAATTAAGCCAGTAAGGGTTCAGAGAGGCCTCAATGGGAAGCCACAATGATGATTAAAGGGATGGAAAGCTGGAGTTATGGGGAAGAGTTGAGGGACCTCTCAATTTTTTCGTCTGGTGGATGACTTAATAATGATTCTCTAGCATATGGAAGATGCTTACTTGCAGAAAGGGATCTCCATCCAGGACTGAACCAGAAGATAAGTGTCAGATCTGTCTGATGAGCTATTTAGGGTTAAAGAGGTTTTTGCCTGGGAGGGCTGTTAATTATTCTAATGGGTCATAGAGAAAAGTGGTGTCAACTACTCTCTGCAGAGGATGTTAAAATATAATGCAGAGGGACTTTTTCATGCCTTAGTAGATAATAACTTGTCAAATATTCTACTTTTTCTTCTCTATAGCCTTTATATTTTTTATATCATCTTTGTACTAACCAGCATAGTGGTTGCTTCCAGATTTCTATTTTAGCCTTTCTCATTAATTGCATCTGTCTTATGGAAGCATTTATTTTATTTTATTTATTCTAATTTGTTATACATGACAGAAGAATGCAATTTAATTCATACTACACAAATAGAGCACAATTTTCAAGTCTCTGGTTGTACACAAAGTAGAGTCACACCATTTGTGTTTTCATATATGTACTTAGGGTAATGATGTCTGTATTATTCCACCATCTTTCCTACCCCCAGGCCCCCTCCCTTCCCCTCCCTCCCCTTTTCCCTATCTAAAGTTCATCTATTCCTCCCATGCTGCCTCCTAATCCCCACTATGAATCAGCATCTTTGTATCAGAGAAGACATTCAGCATTTGGTTTTTTGGGATTGGCTTACTTCACTTAGCATTATATTCTCCAACTCCATCCATTTACCTGCAAATGCCATGATTTTATTATCTTTTAATGCTGAGTAATATTCTATTGTGTATATATACTGCATTTTCTTTATCCACTCATCTACTGAAGGGCATCTAGGTTGGTTCCATAATTTAGCTATTGTGAATTATGCTGCTATAAACATTGATGTGGCTGTGTCCCTGCAGTATGTTGTTTTTAAGTCCTTTGGGTATAAACCAAGGAGTGGGATAGCTGGGTCAAATGGTGGTTTCATTCCAAGTTTTCCAAGGAATCTCCATACTGCTTTCCTTTTTGGCTACCCCAATTTGCTGTCCCACCAGCAATGTATGAGTGTGCCCTTTTCCCCACATTCTCACCAACACTTATTGTTGTTTGTATTCTTAATAGCTGCCATTCTGACTGGGGTGAGATGAAATCTTAGAGTGGTTTTGATTCCCATTTCTCTAATTGCTAGAGGTGTTGAACATTTTTTTATATATTTGTTGATTGATAGTATGCCATCTTCTGAGAAGTGTCTGTTCAGTTCCTTGGCCCATTTATTAGTTGGGTTATTTGTTTTTTTGGTGTTAAGATTTTTGATTCTTTATATATACTAGAGATTAGTGCTCTATCTGATGTGAATGTGGTAAAAATTTGCTCCTTATGGAAGCATTTTTAATGAATGGAATGATAGAGCATTTCCTCCCTAAAAACATATGTACTCTAGAGGTCCTCAGCCTTAACACTACTGACATTTGGAGCTGGATCTTTCTCTATGGTGGGGACTTTCCTGTTTATTATAGGATGTTGAGCAGCATCCTTGATCTCAACCCATTAGATACCAGTAGTTTCCCAACTGTGACAACCAAAAATGTCTCCAGATATTTTCAAAAGTCCCCTGAGGGTAGGGGTAGAGTTGCTCCCAGTTGAGAACCATTGCTCTAAAGCCACTTAATAACTTCCAGTATGTGTGAAGATTGTTTCCAATTTTCAAAAATTTCTTGACCTATCATAGTTTATGAAATCCATCTCACTAACATTTTATCAACTACTTTCTTTGCCTCTGGTGTTACTGCTACTAGAAACTGGAATGGGAAGTTGAATAACCTTAGTGGGAGCTCATTAAATGTATATCATTTTTCGGGAAATGTGGCCACTGAGGCTAGTTCTAGCACAATATATTATAAGCCCTTCAACTAAAAACATTTAAAAAATAATTGATCTACTTGAACTTTAAAATATTTTAAAATAATGTATTACATTTTTAATGTAAAAGTAATACACACTCATAGACTATTAGAAACATTTTTAAAAGATACTATGTTAGTTTTTGTTACTGTGACAATACCTGACATAAACATTAGGGGAGAAAAGGTTTATTGTGGTTCATGGTTTCAGAAGTTTCAGTCTATGGTCCATTAGCCATTTCTTTGGACTTGAAGTGAGACAGAATATCATGGTGGAAGAAAGCTTTCAGCTCATGGCAACCAGGAAGGAGTAGGGGTGGGCAAGGGCCAGGGACAAGATATAGTCCCAAGGGCATGCCTCCAGCAACCAACTTCCTCCAACTAGGCCCCACCTCTCAATCATTTCTGAATTATTAATTCATCAAATGGATTAATCCACAAATAAATTTAGAGCCCTCATGATCTAATCATTTCATAATATCTCACCTGTGGGCATGAAGTTTTTAAGTCCCTGGGCCTTTTGGGGGACATTCTAGATTCAAACCCTAATTGGCACCAACATTCTCACCTCTCTAGAGGCCATGGTTCATATTCAGTACATTCTTCCTTGTCTTTCAGGTCTTTTAAAAATGTGTATTTTGTGTTATATTTTTTAAAATTCTTTCCCAACTTGGGCTCCCCAAAGTTTCTGGGGTCTGTGAGTCTGTTTTCTCATGGCACTGGCTTATCCTCTGGGTGAGGAGTTGGTTTATTTTTTCATGCAGGAGATATATATTGAGCATTCATGGCTTTTGCAAGTGTTTGGTGACTGATGAATATTTCTGGTGCAAACTAGGAGTTGACTCCAATAGAGAGTTGCATAGAGCTTTCTTGCTGGTTTTTCTTTCATTCATCAGCTTTTATTTTGTATGTAGCACCTTCTCCTCCAACATTTGAAGCCTTAATATAAGTCTTTATAATACAGTTCCAAAGAAACCTAGCAAAGCCCTTCTGCAGAGAGTAGCAGTTGTCACTTAAAGTAGCCAGCTTAGATCTCCAACTCTGACCCTAGCTGATGCCTGTGATCTTTGCTTGGTAGTAAATAGCTCATGGGCTTTCTTTCCTAATGAATATTCCATGAAATAGGCTCTGTTCTCCATGATATAAGAACCAGATACACTGATATTTAGGAGACTGACTTATTCATGCATGCATGCATGTGACAAATATTTGTTTGTGTCTCCCATGTGCTAGGCATTGTTCAGGCAGTGGGAGTTCACTGGCATGTAAGAGTTCACTGAGTGGAGTGGCTGCTAGAATCAGGGTTTCTGGCCCAATCCGTAGATTCAGAAGAAATATAACCGTGTTGTCTATTTTAGCAAGTGGATATATGTCTTGCTAAGTTGTATTTGGTTTTATAAGGGGTTGAGCAAATCCATGTGATCAGTTCTTGATTGGGGTTTGTGGCTTGATTCAATCCTGTTGTTCAGTCTGATCATTGAAATAGATAGAAATCCTGTTATGTGGAACTTTAAGAGAATCAACTGGTCTATGGAAAGAAGCATATAAATATGTGTTGGCTGTTGCCTCCCTGCCCTGGTATGGAGGATAGAACCCTCTTGATTTAGGAGAGCATGCAGAGTGTGTCAGGCAGGATCTGCATTTGAAAACATGTGCGTCAGTGTCGTCTGGTATTTGTGGTTGAATCATATCCCACTTGATGTAACTAGATTTAACCTGACCCATATAATGTGCAGGCATTTGCCCAGCAGGCTCTCTATTCCTCTTTTTAACAGAGACCCTTTTTCAGACTCAGCCTGACCCCAAATGCTGCCAGCTTTCCATTAGAGTGCTCTATTGCACTAAATGGCCTTAGAGGAGGTAGTTCGAATTTTATTTTTGAAAGAACAATATAGGTGAATAGTAGTCTTTGACAAGGCAAGAAATGTATTATGGAAACCAGGATTCATTTTAAAGCAGGCCCTGCTGTACATTTTTCCTAACCTTTTCCCACGAACCAAAAGAAAGATTAAAATTCCAACAGAAGGAAAATCGCCTTGGAGAAATATCTTGAGACCGATGGATTTGTTTCATGTGTGACTTAAAATAGCCTGGGTTTCTAGCACTGCATTAAGCTGTATTTCTAATGAGTTCCTGTTACCCTACTTTTCTTCAGCTTCACATGGCTTTGCCTACAGACAGAAATAGACTAATTGCTACCATAACAGTTTTACTATCTTTCTTTGAGAAATCTACAAAATGGCCCATTTTTAAGAGAGGAGATCCAAGGAGTGGGGGGATGCAGCTTTTCTGGGGTTGTTTCTTTGGTCCCAAGGGTCATATTTGGGATTGAGCTGCATTTCTGGGCTGTGAGCCTGGGCTGGTCTTATTGGTTTCTTGTTCCTCTTAGGATTCATAATGCCATTTAGGCCAGTTGTAAGTTAGTTTGTAAAAAACGGTGTTTTAAGGTCACTGGGCAGCTAAATGTGGTTTCTTGTCATGACAAACTTTAGTCCATGATGAGGTGAAGGAGTGTTTGGAAAGCAAGAATGAAGGGTTCTGGGCTGTTTGGGGTGCTCTGGAGTGCAGGAGAAAGCAGTGAATATCCCCAAAGGAACCATGTTGGTCAGGCCCATCTTGTAAGGCATCGACAATGAATGGTCTGGTCACAGCAGGGGGGCCTCACACAGCATTAGCTTAGAGAAATGCCAATTTCACAGATGTTTGGCTGAATCCCCTCATTAAGAATGTGTCATTTGCCCTTGAACCCCTTTTCTGTGGGATTCTGGGATGCTGTGTGGGGGATGGTAGGAGGGTAGTTAAGAGAAGAATTTACATGTGGCTTATCGTTCCTACTTACCCCATTCTAGAGAATGCCAGGCAGAGGCAGGAGGGCATCGTGAGCAATTCCATAATGTACTTCACGGAGGAGCCCCCTGAGCTGCCAGCCAACAGCCCACACCCCCTGAAGCTGCGTCGCATCCTGAACCTCAGCCCTTTCACGGTTACAGATCATACACCTATGGAGACAGTGGTGGACATTTTCCGGAAACTGGGGCTCCGGCAGTGCCTGGTGACTCGGAGTGGGTGAGTAGGTGGACCAGTATAAACAGAACATGTACTGTGGCCAGACTTGGGAGAAAAAGATGACTAAGACCTGGTCTCTACCTTTAAGGAACTCAACCATCCACTGGGACAGACCTGTCCTTGACAGGAGATGCCAATAAGCTGTGATGAATGTATGGAGAAGTAAATGTAGAGGGAGCTTTGGAACTTAGAGCAAGGTGGCCAGTGCAGCCTGGAAAGGTAGAGGAAACTTCAAGGTTAGACTACCCTCTGGGCCCAGCCTGAAGGTTGAGTCAAAAGGGGAGGAGCCAGAGGAGAAGGACTTGGTGTTGCTTTTCTACTGCCATATGACATTTGGGTTATGGAAGAAGGTACAGCTAGTTCTGCTGTAATGTAACATATGTTCCTCAAAACCACAGAGCTATCCAAAATACAGCAGTGAAAACCATAGGACTTATGGGAAAAATGAAAAATGGAATTAGATACATGATATTCAAAAATTTCATTAGTGATATACATATATTTTTTAATGAGCTAGGCATGGTGGCATATGCCTGTAATCTCAGTGACTCAGGAGGCTGAGGCAGGAGGATCCTGAGTTCAAACCCAGCCTTGGCAACTTAGTGAGGCCCTAAGCAACTCAGCAAGACTTTGTCTCTAATAAAATACAAAAAAGGAAAAAAATATATAAAAGGGCTGGGGATGTAGCTCTGTGGTTAAGTGCCCATGGGTTCAATCCCTGGTACCCAAAACAAAACAAAACAAAACAAACCCCCCAAAAAACTGAGATAAGAACACAATAAAAATGGTAGTTTTACAACATTTTGCACATGTTAAATGGTTAGGAAATATTTGAATATGACAGTATGTCACTTAACCTTGAAAAAGACCTGAACTTGACTGTGGAACAGACATCTGAAGGACTACATCTTGTGATTTGGAATAGGGGCAGTTATCACAGCTAGATGGATGGCTGTGGCTTCTCACATCCACGTGAACTGAAACAGTGTGTTCAAGGGGTGTGCATATGTGCACTTTGTGTCCTCCAATGCTGCTGGGTTCAGCTGGGTGCAACTGTCTGTGCTCTCCTGGTTTCTCATGGATGAAATCACACACGAGCAAATGCAAAATCCATGTTGTACTCAGGTCATTCCCAGTGTGAAACAATTTCATCTTTGCCAAACAAATGGTATTGGAGAATGAGATATTAGATAGCCTCTTGGCATTGTTTCTGCTATCATGTTCTATTGTGTGAGTGTGTGTGTATGTGTGTGTGTGTGTATATGTGTGTGTGTGTGTGTATGCGCACGTGCATGTGCATGTGCTACTGGGGATTGAATCCAGGGGTGCTTTACCACAATACTACATCCCCAGCTCTTTTTATTTGAGGCAGGGTCTCACTAAATTGCCTAAGCTGGCCTTGAACTTGAGATTCTCTTGCCTCAGCCTCCCAAGTCACAAAGATTATAGGTGTGCACCATTGTACCCAGCCATGCAATTACTTTTATTTTGTATTATTACAAACCAGTAAAGTATCAATAAAAAAGGTCAAAGTGCTACAACAGTGCTGGAGGTGCAGTTCTCCAAGGGCCATTCTTTTGCCTCAACATGTACCCCAAATTCCACAGTTTCAGAAGCTTGGGTAGAGAAAGGGACTGGCTTGGTCTGCATGTCCTGGAACCTAAGTTATCAGTCTATTTCATTCCTTCTAAGCTGGGTGTTGGAATGAGGGAATGGGTTTTGGTGATGATGGTTTAGGCCTTTATAGAACCAAGAGGCTTAACTATCTAAAGTAGTTTACATTTCTGAAGGCAGTACATTCTAGTTTAACTTAGTAGTTCTCAACAGGGGTGGTTTTGTCCCCTAGAGATGTGGGACAATGACTAGGGGCAATGTCAGATATCACAACTAGAGGGAGAGGTGCTATTGTCATCCGGTGGGTAGGGGACAAGGATGCTGCTAAACATCTGGAATGCCAAGGCAGCCCTCATCATCATCGTCATCAACAACAACAACACAATGTGGTCCAAAAGTTCACTTGATATTGTGGTTGAGTGACCCTGATCCTGGACTGGATGTTATGGCTAAGCAAATAAGCAATCCTATCCATTCAGCTTTTTGCCTGCTGTGTTAGTAACAGGGATATAGGCTCTGCAAGAGATGAAATGTGCACAATCACCCAGAGAACTCCTAGCTGGCAGGAAGTATGTCCTTAGCTCTAACTGCAGCCAGAAGGGCATCTTGTACATGGGAGGTGCAATTAATAGGGAACAAACAAATTGGTCCTTGTATTTGAAGCTAGAGGTCATTTCTGCCAGAGAATGTTAAAGGAGCTTTGTAATTTCTCAAAGTTGAGCCTGCCTAAGAATGGCCTGGCAGATTAAACCTGCAGGTTAAACCCAGTTTGCTGGGGTCCACTGCAGAGCTGCTGATCCCTGAGGTCTCAGGTAAGACCTGAGAATGTGCATTTCTAACAAACTCTCAGATAAGGCTGCTGGTCTAAGGACCCCAGTTTGGGGAACTGCTGAAGTTGATTTCTGCATTTAGATTTCCAGCTCTTGGCATAAATACCACTGTGATCACCCTTGCCATCTCAAGTGTATAGCAGTTTCTTCTTTCCTTTAAAATAATAATCCAATGTCAGTTTTCATTGGAATTTCCAGTGTGGGCAGGAAATTCTGCCTTAACACCCACTCTCACCTCACAGAGCCCCATGAGGCTTTCCTGAGAAGATCTGGGTGCTGAAGTTGGCTCCGAATGTTCTGTGAGAAAGCAAAATCATTCTCTCTGGCTCTACATATTTTAAACAAACACAGATGCTGCTACGTTAGTGCTGGCAAGAGATCCTTGTTTGCGGGGCCTTTCATCTTCATCTCCTCGGGCTTTCAGCCAGAGTGGGCCCATCTCAAGCCAGCTCGCATTTTTGATGCGTTCCCTCACCATGTGCCTTCCCTGCTCAAGATGGCTGAGAGCCTGAGCCTGTTCCTTGACCTGGATCATCTTCAGGATTTCTCAGGGCCTGGGGCCTAAAGTAATCATGAAACCAGACCAGAATCCAGAGGAGTTTTGTCCCCAAAATGCAGGAGTCTAGGAAGCCTCCAGTGACCAAGAGCAAATTTGGGTAAGATTTGCCCTGTGAAGGTTCTAGAAAGGAAAAGCAACTAGAGGAGATGGTGGTAGATTTCCCCCAAACCCTACTAGGTGGTACATTGGGTCTGGTTAGGTTAGATTTCTCAGAAGAGCCTAGCTGCTCAAATCTGAATTATGTTCTTGGTCATTATCTAGCCATTTATGATTCACTGAATTCACTTGATCTGCCACCCAAAGGGGCTGAAAGTTCAAACCCTTGATTTAAATCAAAGAGAACATTTCAAGCCACTAATGAAGTCTACAGGATTTGATGTTGCCTCTTTTTGGGTTGATGTTTAGCTTTCTTCTATTGTAATAATTACTCTTGTAGGCCCCTGGCACAATTTATGCCCACACCCAAGTCAGCACCTGAATTAATAGTTTCACAATGTTATTGTACCTAACATAACTTTCAGACAGAGGAAGTGAAAAGGTTTTTGGAATTGTAAATGCTTGGGTTTTGGTTTTTGATGTGAGGTCTCTGTGTTGCCTGGTTGGGCCTGAACTTCTGGACTCAAGCGATTCTCCTGCTTCAGCCTCCTGAGTAGCCAGGAGAACAGGCCTCTGCCACAGCATCTGGCTGTGCCTCATCTTTTGATACTGTCTCCAGAATAAAGACAAGGAAATGAAACCCAGGCTTTATAGATACAGGAGGGGGATGTGTGGAAGCATGTTGTATTTTTAGTAGAGTTCTTATCTTTGCAAATATGACACTAGTAGTCATATTTTTTGAAGAGACATTGGTGTAATCAACATTTTACTGAGCATCTATTTTGGCTGAGGGCTGGGGAGGATCAGAAAGTGTTTTTAAAAGAAGTCAAGGATCCTGTTATCTGCTAAGGAACATGGACACAATTCAATGTATTTGATGCTACCCAAAGCAGGTGTTCCTGAGGAGGATGTCCTAAAGCAGGCTTTCCAGTAGAAAATAGATGGCAGAAGCTAAATGAGTGGTTTAAATTGAGGGTCTGTCCATTAGTTCATCACTGCAGAGCCCCCTCCCACTGCCTAACAACCCCTGTGGATGCTCTGTGTGTGAGCTGATCTGTTTGTATCTGCTGTGATTTCACTCCTGATCACATCTTGCTTAGCAGCATATTATAAGTATAAGCTGCTGGCCTTATAACTGTCACTTTTTTTTTTAATTTTGAAAGAACTATCAAAATCCCAACCCTTGTGAATGTGAATGCTCGCATTTTTACACTTCCATTTACTGTTCTCTTGCCCTTCATTTTTATGCATTCTGCAAGAGGTCAGTGAATTCTTTGACCTTCCCTGTGTTTCTGTCATCTAGCATCTGAAGGGTCATTGTATAGCCCCTGCGGTCCTGCCTTTATTTATACTGATTTATTTATTTTACAGCATATTGAGATAATTCACATACCATACAATTCACCTATGTAAAATGTTGAAGTCAGTAGTTTTAGTAGAAAATGAATTACTACCATCAACTTTAGACTATTTCTATTACGCTATAAAGAAACCCTATACACCTTAGCTGTCACCTCCTGTACCCCAGCCCTAGGCAACAACTAACCTACTCTCTGTTTCTGTGGATTGTTCCCTATTGGATCTTGTGTGTAAATGCAGTCATATCCTATGTGGTCTTGTGGCTGGCCTCTTTTACTCAGCAGAGTATTTTCACAGTTCATCCATGTTGAAGCCTGTAACAGTCCTTCATTCTGATTATGGCTGAATATCATTTGTTGTATGGATAGACCACATTTTGTTTATTCATTCTTCTATTGATAGACATTTGGATTATTTCTACTTCTTGGCTGTTATAAATAATACTGTTACGAATAAGACTTGTGTGCAAGTTTTTGTGTGATTTTCATTTTTCTCAGAGGAATTGCAGTCATGTGGTAAGTCTATGTTTAACTTTGTTTCCTTCCTTCCTTCTTTCCTTCCTTCCTTCAGAGATATAATTCATATACTATATAATTTGCCATCTTAAAGTATATAATTCAAGGGTTTTTGATACATTCTCAAAGTTGTGTTAACAATTGCTTTGTTGTAAATCCAGAACATTTTCATCACCCCCTAAACCCTTTTCTCATTAGCAGTTACTTCCTATTCCACCCTTCCCCCAGCCACTGCCAACCACTAATCTACTTTCTGCCTCCATGGATTTGTCTATTCTGGATACTCATTATATATGTGGCATTACATGATATGTCACCTTTTGTGATTGATCCTTTTATTTAGCATAGCTTTTTCAAGGTTCACCCAAGTTGTAGCATGTGTCAATACTTTTTATGGTTAAATAGTACTCCAACGTATGGATGTTTATCAATTCATTAGGAGATGGACATTTAGGTTCTCTTTACTTTTTGAATGAGAATATGAGACCCTAAGAAGTAAAACACTTAAGATCAAAGGAAATTGGGTACAGAGCCAGTCCTATCTGGGGATCTACCAAGGACCTTTGGTGGAGGACCCTGCCAGTCAAACCAGAACCCAGAGGACATCAATGTTCTCTACACAACAGCAGAGGGGAAGTAGACTGGGGGCAATTTGAAGATACCCAGCATCATCTGTGAAGATGCAGAATCCTGAACTATTGGAGAGCATCCTATAGAACCAGATTAGGACTCATTTGGCTACTGTCACATAGGAGTCCTTACTAGGGACTCTAATTTGTCTTTAAATAAGGCCCCTTCCCAGTATTAGAGTCACCTTTCCTTGCTATTATTGCTCCATTAAAATTAATTATTTTCATGAGAACAAGAACAGAATGTATCTGTCCCCAAGAATAAACCTCCTTTATTTACCTGGACCTCCAAGCCTTTGCCATGCCTTGGGCCTGGAGGCCTGGGCAACTCTTCTCAGCAGCCATATGTGGTTGCCAAGGCAAAAGGGAAGCTCTGATGAGATAGAGGCTCACTAAAGCTTCCATAGAAGCCAGGTGAATTGACAAAGTATTGGGTAATAGTGCCCTTGAGAAAATGTTTAGCTCTCATTGAATGAATGCAGTGGGCCCTTATTATGGCAGTTGACCCCTAAGTAACTAAGACAAATCAGGATGGAAAATGGGGGGGTTTAGAACCACCAGCTGGACCCAGCATTATTCCAGTGCATGAAGACCAGATTCCTTATTGGGTCCTGATCCCCTCAGATGGGTTTTCCTGGAAGAACCCAGCATCTCACTACAGAGAATGATAATGTTCATTTCTTTTGGGGTCATCTTATTCAGGATTATACCAACATTTGGGGGGAACAAACTAGGTCTATTTAAATCAGCTTTATGCATCTTACATGTTTTAGAATTTCTCATGGTCTAGAAAGAGAAATATTCCAAAGGTGCTGTGGCAGCTGAATGCAGAGGCAGCTGAACAGCTGTTATGGGCTGAATTGTGTCCCCCACTTCTAAATTCTTATGTCGAAGCTGTAAGCCCCAGCATGATTGTATTGGGACACAAGTTCTTTAAGGAGGTAATTAAAGTTAAATGAGGCCATTGGGGCAGGACCCTAATCCAGTAGGACTGGTGTCCTTGTAAGGAGAGGAAGAGACACAAGGAGTCTATGTGCACAAAGAGGCCATGTGAAGACACAGAAGATGACTATGTTCATCTCTAAGCCAAAGAGAGAGAGAAACCGGCCCTGCTGGCACCTTGATCTGACACTTTGAAAAAATAAATTATTTTGTTTAAAAGCCATCTCATCTGTGGTATTTTGTTACAGCAGCCCAGGCTGACCAACACAGAAATGCAGTTTGGCAGATTTGGTGGAACAGCATCTTGTTTTATGGGACATCTTCAATTTTACTGCATTATGATACATTTTAGAGATGTATTTAAAATAATGCATTATGACCATAAAGTCAAGAAGCCCTAAAGAGCTTGAGTGAAAATCCACAATTCCTGGCTCTATCCACCTTCACCACCCCTCCACTTGTTTTAGGTGACCCATGGTGTTTAGCATGCTTTTAAAGACCCCTCTTGCTATTTCCTCCATCCTAAAGATGTTCCTGTGGGATGACTGGGGAAGGGCCAGTGTTTCTTGTCTTCCCTAATGTGACAGATGGAAAAACTCACCCAAGAAATAAATCCCATTTTCAAGATTGTTTAAGGTTCAATGTGGTCAGAGTCAAACAAGTCCAAATTCTAGCCTGTTTCTCTCCAGGTGTAACTGATTTGAACACCCCTTCGAATCATTTTATCTCTTCTTCATAGCACTTTCTATAAGTGAAAGGTGACTCTGGCTAACTGGACCTTAATTAAAGAAATTGTGTTAGATTATACTTGTGTTTTCTGATTCTCTTTTGGTATGTCATCATTTTACAAAGACGTAGAATAGAAACCTGTCATTTTAATAGCTATATAGTATTCCAAGGTGAGACTGCCATGGATTTCTTCCTCATTACTCTATCCTTTTGGGGTGTATATGTGTGATAGAGACACAGTGAGCAGTAATTTGCAAACTTATTTGGCAATGGAAATTTTTCTCCAAAGAAGTTGTGCACATTCTCTTCTGATAAACCTTTTATTGTATCCATGGTGCATAATTTATTCCTTCAGGTTGTCCTTTAAATTTTTAATAAAATAGCGAAACAAGGGTTGCTGTGAATGGTCATACAAATGGGCACTGCCTGATATAGGGAGTACTGTTTACATTGTGGTGTGTGTGTGAGAGTGCTCCCCGGGATTGTGTGATGTACAGTTGAGGTGACCCTAGTCAAGGGATCCTGGTAAGTGCCATTCTTTTGATTAGTTGAAAGCAATGGAATTTGGAAGGGGAGGCAATTTCCATACAGGGTCAGAGATGAATGTTATTCTTTACCCTTCTAGTAAAATAAAAATTAAAAATAAAATATATATAATATAATATATTTAATCTCATTCCTAACATTTCTTTTCGTTAAAATGTCTTACACTTGGAATTTCTGTGGTGTGGTCAGCTTTCAACAATGGCTTTCATGAGCACTTTTAAAATTGATTATATTATTGAAATTTAAGAGAGTGTATTAGTCATTGTAGTTTTATTGTAATAACAAACAAGCTTGCAATCTCAGTGGTGTAATGCAATAAAGGTTATTTTTCTCACAAGTCACATCTTACCGTATTTCAGTGCATAATCATTGTAGATTTTATGCAAACATATTTTGCAAAAAAAGTGGGGGGTGACCTTTAAGAAAAAACTGTGCCAGTATTACTTAAAAATCATTTATTACTAAACTTCCTCTGGTGCAATATTAGGATGCCCAGAATACTCGTGAATATGAGTTAATGTGATGGCAATGATTATGCACTGCAATATGGTAAGCAATTTGCAGGTGTAGGCTCAACCACATAGTCACTCATGGCCCCAGGTCTTTGAATCTGGTGGCTCTTAAGTCAGACCTCTGTTTTCCAGAGTCTTTTCACTGGCTCCTTTGCCTCTGACTACCAGATGAGAAGGAATGAGGAGAAATGTGTAGGAGACCTGGGAGTGGCATCTGTCACCTTCACCCATGGACCATGGGTCAGACAGAGCTCACTCCATTGGCCCTACCCAACCACAAGGGAGGCTGGTAGGCTGGTAAACTTTACCTATCCCTGTCCCTCAGTAAAAATGGCACTGGGGATTAGGGACAGGGATGAGTCCATATTGTAATGCTGACCTCTTTTTTAAATTTTCTTTCCATTCCAGGAGACTTCTTGGCATCATCACAAAAAAGGATGTTCTGAGACACATGGCCCAGATGGCAAACCAGGACCCCGAATCTATCATGTTTAATTAGCAACAAGAGAACAATTTTGAGAACACACTGATAATATCATTTTAAAAGAAATAAACAAATGATATGTTACTATCCCCAATGAAAGACCTTGCACTAGGGCTAGCAGAAGCAAAAGCTTTGCTTGAAAGGAGGGGAAGAAGGATGAAACTTTTTTTAAAAAACAACAAAACAACAACAAAAAAAGCAAAACCATCAATGAATAGACATTTTATAGCTTTGAGCCCCTTATGAGTTTTGAGCTGTGTTTCTCCATGGGTGTGTTAACTGCTGTGGGGGCAAGTGGGTGGCATAAGAACCACGTGCTTCATATGAGGAGACAGAACACAAATGCCAAATGGAGAAGCTGTGACCCCACTGCTCAAGGCTGATGTTTGTAACTTCAGAACACATGTGAAGCTTTGAGTCCAAAAGACAAAGGGGTATTGGCATGTCAACATTCTTATTTATTATGATTCCTGATAATTTGCTGCTATGTACTAAAATCATACTAAAGACATTTGCACTTACTTCATTGGAGGAGAAAAGAAATGAAGGTTGAACAGTGAAAGCTGCAAGTGTGCTCCAGTGGGGTCTCCTCATGACTGGTTTCTTTCTCCTCTTCTCAGCCTGTTATTTTGCTTATTTATCAGTTTCTGAACCAACATCAGGGGAGCCACAATGAGTGTGAAGAAACCATTTCTCTCCACAATACTGGCACTTTGGGTCTGAATGATGAACTGTGGGAACATGTAGTGCTCTGTGTAGTTTCCCCTTGTGCAAGCGGACACATCCTTATTTTGAGGGAACACACACTTGATTGTTGATTTGCATCCCCATTGCATTTGCTTCATTTATTTATTGCTGTTGCCTGTGCTTTCTTAAATATTGATCAGTCTAGCACTTTCCATGTGTCATGGCCTGTATGCTCCCAGCTTGTGATAAGTATGTTTTAATTCCCAACTAGCATATGCAAGAGTCAAAATGGGCTACTGAGTATTACTACTTATTTTTCCTCTCAGGTCTTTTTGGATATGGCTGTGAAGAGGGTGAAGCACACGAGTTCTCAGTGGGAACTCTACCAAATGGATTGCAAGAGAACTACTAAATTGATTCTAAATCTGTTCCATTCTCTTCTCTGTGGGATGCAAAGTGTCCAGTTTTAATGTCTAAGCATGCACTTTCATACTAGCAATCATAGCACAGAAGGAGAGAGTTAAATTTTATATAGCCAATTTAAACATTGGGCATCTTTGTATTAGAATTTAACGACACATTTATTCTTTTAGCCAGGATGTCTGTCTTTTCTGTGAGAATGAATTAAGCTATGTTTTAGGTCCCCACTGTATGATCTGTGTAAAATTTATCCCACTTGTCCCCTTACTTTTACCTTTGTTCTTCCCTTTTCACTGAATCTTTCTCATCCTTTTCAATCTCATGTCATTGGATCTTGATGTATGAAGTATGTGTGATCTTGACTGCAAATAACAGTGAAGGACTGAATAAGAAACCTGGGAGATACACACCCCAGGATTGTCTGCATCATTTCACCAAGGATCAAACTCCTTTGGTAATTTCCACTACCTTATCCTCTCTCCTTTGGTTTATTGCCTCATAGTTGCAAGATGGTTGCTGAACCACCAGGTATTATGTCTGTTTTCTAAGTGGGAAGAGGGAAGAAGAGGCAAGTAACAAGGTGCAATGTCTACATCCAGAAAGCAAAGCTTTCTGTAACTTGGCTCCCCCTAGTGCATGAGAGTCTGGGAAGGAAAATTTTAGCTAGGCACATTACTCTGTGAATGAAATTTAGAGTCTCTCTCTTTTGTTGTTTATTTTATTTTATTTTTTTGCTGTGTGAGGGGTGGAACCCAGGGCCTCATGCATGCTAAGCAAGTGCTCTACCTGAGCCACATTCCCAACCCTAGAGTCTCTTAATGAGGAAGGGGGATTAGGTTTTGGAAGGGGATTGTCTCTGCCACAGTTTCCTCATATCCCTATCATTGCCCTTCAATGTCTTTTTTACTCTCTCATTCTTGACAAACTCTTGCAAACATTCTTCGAACCTTCTTGCTTCCTATTCTTTTTCTTAGATTTGACCTAGAATTCCTAATCAGAATCCATCATTTCTTAGCCCCAGTAAGAATTTTTATTTTGGATAAAAACCTAGCTACAAGTGGGTTTCTATGAAACGTTTTATTGTTATAAGAAAATACATCTTCTGTGGATTAAAATTTTCAAGTCACATCATGCTGACAACTATGGAAAATTTGTTTCTGCAATTAATGCCCCCTCTCTAAAATAACGTCTAATAGCCACTTCAGTGTGGAAATATCCAGTTAATAGCAGAGAATTTAGACTGTGGTCTTAGAATGAAATGCATTGTCTCATCCACAGCATGTAAATAGTAAGAAAAGATCTTAATCTTGGTGGTGTTACTGGGATTTCCACGGAACATTTGCAAGTGAAGCTGGCTTCTCCTGGACTTCAAATCCTGAATTCTTAAAGATTGCTTCATGTAGTCCCCTTTTATTCTCTTGTGGTATCACTCAGAGACAACCTGTAATAGGAAAGAGGATTAGTCACAGCCCAGCCCTATATAATCCAGAAGACCCTTGTAGCTGAAACAGGTAGCTTCAAAAAGAACATGAATCAGTGGAAAGAGAGCCAAAGGTCAGTGAGACCACAGAATTGCCTTCCAACCCAGCTGAGGCTGTGGAGGGACTGAGGGCATGGTTTAGATTGGGCCAAGGTTATCAAGAGGAAACTTGAGAGTTGTTTCCTTCTCCCAGTGCTTAGCACAGAGATGTTGGTGACCCATGGAAACTATTGGAAGAGTTATTGACTGAAATAACCAAGGCTTCTTTTCCTTTACAAGTTGACCCTCCAATCTGTTGTGGGGTTCAGACTCCTCAACAGAAAGTCAGGGTCAGACAGGTAGGTTAAGATCAAGGGTGGGGAGTGTAGTGGGGTTGATAACAGCAAATGACCTTTCTCCCAGGGAGCCCACCTCAGCCATGTGGTCCATTTGCCCACTGGCCAAGGTTTCACACAAGCTCTGTGGGGACCATACTGCTCTTTGTCACTTTTTCTTAGAAAAGTACCCAGCTATGGACTCTGAGGGTATTCACGGTATCCCAATGCAGAACTTCATCTACTTTCTCTAGTTATCTGATGTAGAGAACTGGGACATGAAGTTGAAATGTACATCTTTTAGAATAATATATTTTTTTCTTTTCCAAAACCAAAGGCTTTGGGCATTTGCGGAACTTTCTGGATCAGTTTTTATTGTAAAAATCATAAACACATGTTAGAAAAGGAGTTCTCTAATGAGACATATCACCTACTTCTTGCTCTCCCTTCTGATTACTAAGGGAATGGGTTGTAGGACACCAAAATAAAGGGAATCCCGAAAATGATATGTGAATTTTTTTTGAAGTGTTTTTCAGTGCATCTCTTGGGAATGCTGATGTTCCTGTGGCTTTTAGGAAAAGGTAAATGTGCTAGAAGTAAAGCATCCAATATTAAGTGCTTGCTGTTACATAGACATGCAGTCTCAAGGTTCTCTATTCAGTAATTCCTAAAGGCCTTGTAAAAAAGAAGACTTGTAAATATACATTTTGAGCCCTAATAAGTCACAGACACCAAAAATTTTAGGCCAGTTTGTTTTATTTAGGTGAGAACTGATTACTTTAAATTATTAACATGTGCAAATTCTGCTTGGAATTCATCATCAGGTGCTGAGCTGGAAAAGACGAGAAACTCAAGGAAGAGAACTATTGAATTTCCATGTAACTGTAATATTATGCTTTCATTTTAATTTTGTGTGGGCAGTGTATTATCAAACTGGGCTTTTAACCTTTGAAATGATTTGCACAAAGAGGGAGCCTGTATATCTGACCTAGGAAACATTAACCAGATCCCATTTTCACTGGTGCAGAAATAACTATTTATTTGCCGTCCTTAGGTGTTCTGGGAATGAGCCTATGTGTGACTTTTATGAGATATATTCACATTTGGTGTCGGAACAACCACATGGCAACATGTTGGCTCTTTTTTATTGTACCACTCTGCATAAATGTTGGCACCTTATTACAAATTAAATGTTTGAACTCTATTTTTAAAAATAAAACAAGCACAGAGTCCTCAAAAAATGTTGTAAATGAAGAGATACTGATTTCATAGCATGTTTCTGCCCAATGGATCCTCTTGAAACCTGGTCCTGCTGACCAAGCGTCCAGCAGAGTTAAAGACACATCCTTAAGATTGTCAACAGATTGTAACATCAATTTGGTTGGCTTTACAATCCCTTGCTCTTGGCTGCATGGGCAAGGAGCAAGTAAAAATACAAACTGGCGCCAGGCACAGAGACGGGTGCATGTAATCCCAACTATTTGGGAGGTGGAAGCAAGAATATTATAAGTTCAAGGCCAGCCTGGGCAACTTTGTAAAACCTAGTCTCAAAACAACAACAACAAAATAACTCAGACTGTGGGCTTTAAATTTCTAAGGGTGGAATAGGACCACTGTCCTTAGATCATTTTTGTGTCTTCTCTTTGTTGGAGGCTGGGGAGTACAACTGAGTCTAACATTCATTCATTCTTTCACCCTTGAAACAGAACTTTTTCTATTGATTACCTTGAGGATTACAAGGATTTGAATTATGTCCTTCCCCACCAGTTTTTTATTTAGAAAACTTTAAGGAAGATTAGAAAAAGAAAAAAAAAAGAAAGAAGGAAGGAAGAAAGGAAAAAAGGAAGACTACATACCCTTGACTTTACCTTGCAGTTACAGAAGTCTCCTGTGATAAGAGAGGGAACAAGCTGTGGGGACAGCTGGGTGAAGGATAGCCTCAGCAGAAGGGACAGCACTTGTGAATAAACTGAGATGCAAATGGGCCTATCCTTCTGGGCCCTACTAGGGATGAATGGCTACAAGATATGTGGGGGCTCTGGAAGGGAATGGGTGGATTTTAATTTGGTTTTGTTTTCCTTTTGGGAGGAGGGTAGACACAAGCAGATGCCTTAGGAGCCACATGAAGATCTGGACTCACAAGCCTTTCTGGCAGTTGGACAGTAAGTCTGGAAGCCAGAAGTCTGGTAAGGAGGCTGTTGCAGAAGATGAGCAATAGGGAGATTGCTCCAGAGAAGTTCTTGAATTCTGCACATATTTCTAAGGAAGAACCAACAGATTTGCTGGTGGATTGGAGGTAAAGTGGTACAGCCAAATTGACATTTACTGAGATGGGCTAGGTGAAGTAAGGAGCTCCATCTTGGACATGCTGCATGAGGGATATCCAACAGACATCTGTCCCCAGAGTTCAGGGGGATCAATAGTGTTGGAAGGAGAAACCAAACCATTGACATATCGGTTGCATTAAAAGCCATGCCTAGAAACTTCTTAGGTCTAATGATATCCTAACAGCAAACAAAACCAACATTCGAATGGAATTTCAATATTGAGTTTTCAGGGAATCTCACCAACGTTAGGTGACAGCAATGTTGCATTTGAGTTACAGCTCTGTTGAGTTTTGATTGTTTGACATTGTCAAGGCATTGAACCTCTCTGAGCCTGGGATTCCCCATTTCTGTGGAGTGGGCTACTGCTCTTGACCCCAGCATGGCTGTAAGAATTAAACTAGATAATCACTGTAAAGTACTTGGCATGGAATATGACCATGCAAATGGTAGCTATTATCATTTTCTCCCACTATGAAGCCCTCTCATTACCTTTAATTAGAAATTAAGTTTGTGTTGTTAAAGGACATATAAAAATTTAGTTTAATTATAAGAGCCCCAAAATAAACAGATTGGGTTTGCTAATGCCTCTCTTAACTCCTGCAGTCATTTTTCCAAAACACAAACAAAAAAATGAATAAAACACACACATACACACACACACACACACACACACACCCACACACCCTCAGATCTCAAGGGTTGTGAAAAAAATTTGCCAACTCCAAATTAATGGGAAGTTATAGGAACAATTTGGAGGAAAATTCCATTTTTTTTTCTGTAGCTTCATATTGTCTTGGAGAGAAGAAAAGAATAAACAAGTATGAACACTGCACTAGCCATTGATTAATTTAAAATTTGGAGCAAGAGTTCATGAAACACAAGAATGTGTATAACTTGCTTGTTTTTAGACAGCGTAAAACCCAATACTCACCCACTACGCTTTCAGACAAACAACAACAACAAAATCTCTCCAGCATGGTGTTCATGTGGAAATGAGTCTGTTAGTAAAGCTCATGGAAAAACAGCCTTTTGTGGGGGTTGTGTATTTCCCTTTAACATGATATAGCTATATCCCAAAGGGGGATGATGATCAAACAGGATTTGTCCCCAAAGTGACAACCCATCAGTCTTAATTCTTGGGGGCTTAGCTAAAGCTAACCAGAATGGCCTTGCAAATAAGTCTGGGGCATGCGCGGGCTTCCTGGGCTTTCATGGGTTGATGCAGGACCAGGAACTTCCATCTCTGCCCGGGGCTGTGTGTGCGGGATGTGCACAGGCGCCTGGTGTGCTGTGATTACAGCTCTTCCTCAGTTCATTGGTAGTTAATTGGCTAGAAAGAAGCTACCATATGTGAAAGCAGATAGGGAGCATCTATTTTTGGCAGTTCTTCAACATCGCATTTCATTAAAGAAATGGTTTTTTCTTTCCGAATGAGCAATAAGCAAAGAGCACCTTGTGGGGATTTCCAAACCCCTTTAGTCAGGGTTTGGCTCACAGAACGAAGGGAGCAATTTATATGTGATTCCAACGTTTGTTATGGAACACATATTTCAAAGATTAAACAGCCATCCTCAATCCAAACAGATTCTGTCAGAGAAATTGAAAACACATCCATAAATTCTCGGCCCACAGGCTGCCTGACAGGTTGGGTCCAGAGGATGCTTGCTGTAGAATATTCCTTTCTTCTACCAAGCTCCATGTTCATTTCACACACTCACACTCTCAGGGTTTCCACCTGTTTCCAGCCAATACAAACTGAAGCGGAAATTGGAGTTAGCTCCCTTTTGATGAACAGGTTTCCTTTTCTGCCATTTCTCAAACTTCAGCCTGTTCCCCAAAAGACATTTCCAGGAATGGCTGCTGGGTGGTTTATATGATCAACAAGGAACTTTGTCCAGGGAGTTGCCAAGCTCAAGTTACTGCCTGGGGCAGGAGTCTCACTGGGTATTAGAGAGCTGGGGGAAAGGGCAGAGCTGCATGCATTGGAGATGCTCCACTGCTCGTGGCTCCTGCAGGATACTACTGTTTGTGCTGGATGCTTTCAGGTGCCAGAGGACTGGGTTGTGTGGTTCACTAATTGGTGACAGGTGTGTGAGAGTCCAGGCAGTCTCTTTTTCAGTTTCCAGCTGAATGTCCTTGGAGAAGTTAATTTACTTTAGTGAACTGCAACCTGTCATCTGTAGGGCAGGGATGTAGGACCTTTCCTTACACTCCATCACCAGAAAGTGACTAGAGCCCACCCTGACCTGCAGTACTGCAGAGGATGCACCAATCTGAAATGCAGAACCCCAGCCCCACCCAGGTCTGTAGGGGCTGAATTTACATCTTAACCACCCCAGGTGATTTGTGTGCTGAGTGAAGTCTGAGAAGAGCTGTGTTAAGTGACAGGGGTCCAAATGAGATCACCCTCTAAGTTCATGCCCAGCTCTAAGATACAATGTTCTCCAAGATTCTCTCACTTCCAAAGGAAGAGGGAATGATGGCTGTAGTCATCAGGTCAAGGAGCTTGTCCTAAGAAACAAGGTGGAGAGAAACTTGGCAGAAGATCTTGACATCTCATGTCTCAGCTCCCAAACTTTCCCTGCCACAACTGCCCTGTTGCATGAAGCTCTCTTGGAGATTCTCAACCTTAGCACCAGCGACATAAGGGGTCAGGTGAGTCTTCATGGTGGTGATTGTATGAACTGTAGGACATTGAGCAATTTTCCTGGCCTCTACCCAGCAGATGCCAGTAGCTGTTCCCCGAGTTGTGACAACTCAAAAATGTCTCCAGACATCACCAAGTGTTCAGGTGGAGTGATTACAAATTCCCCTTTCCTTGTTCTAATTGCACAGAAGGAACATTGTGGTTTACAAAGTGTGGGGAAAGGGACCTCTCTTTTTTAGTTTTTTGTAAAACTAGCTGAAAATCCCTATTGTCAAGCAAAGACTGAGAACCCCCTGCCTGTCTTGGTGCATCTGCGTGGCTGTGGAGGAAAGCGTCCCCTCAGCTTTTAAGCAGAGAGCAGTACTCTAAGAAAAGCAGGTTCTTTTGCTTCTTTTTGAGAATCCAATGGTGAACCCAAGAAGATTTTCTCTGGGTCTAAGTCTCATGCCAATTAAGAATTTTGATACAATTAACTTCATTTTCTCAGGTCTGGGTAATCACCCCATCTTCCCTCTTCAGTTACCCCACTCCCCCCATACATGTAAGCAGGGAGAGAAATCACTCTTGTCATTAGAAAGAATACCAGCTGATAGCCAGGCACAGTGGTGCATGCCTTTAATCCCAGAGACTTGGGAGGCTGAGACAGGAAGTTTGCAAATTCAAGGCCAGCCTCAGCAACTTAGCAAGACCCTGTCTCAAAATGAGCAAAAAAAGGGCTGGGGATGTAACTCAGTGGTAAAGCAGCCCTAGGTTAAATCCCAAATACCAAACCAAACCAAAAAAAAAAAAAAAACCCAAACAAAAGAACAGCTGCTTCCTTGAGTCAACTTTGAAAAATTTTGTCTTTATTGGAAGCTTAGAGGTAAGCAAACTATAGCACATGTCTGAATTCAGTTTACCACTTGTTATTGTAGGTGAAGCTTTTTGGAAAACAGCCACACCCAACTGTTTATGTATGTCTAGGGCTATTTGTTTTTGTCTATGGCTGCTTTTGCACTAAAATGGCACACGTAAGTAATTGCAACAAACATCTGGCCTGCAAAACCTAAAATATTTACCATCAGGCCCTGTAAGGAAAAAGTTTGCTGGCCCCTGACTTAGAGTAAATTAGGGTCACCAGACCATTGGATAGCTACCAAAAGTAATTTAACTTTCTTACCCAGTGGAAAATATGAATAAATGCTTTTAAAATAAAAGCAAGGAGAGACATGTATGTGTTTTAAAAGATGGATTTGTTAAAATGCCTTTTCATCCTC